AGACAACTGCCATCTTACATTGCATGACATTTTCAATTTATTGTGATTTATTTATTGTGTATAAATGATAGGTGTGTGGATTTGAGCATCATGATAACCCAAATGATTTGCAAAGGCAATTAAATGTACTTTCTTTACACGGAAAAGCTTTTAAATTCATGAATTGTTGGATGGAATAAGATTTGGCTATTTTCAGACATTATGCTGCTTAGGGTGCTTGCTTTGGTCATAAAATATGACATGTCATTGTGGTTTGTGAAAGTACAGGTTTGTACCTGTCCTGTTTTGTTCCTATACCCAACTAGACAGTTTGTACCAGTCTGGTTTCGTATAGCAACCAATCAGGTTAGGTACAGATTCCAATGAATAATTAAGAAATGCAAAGAACAACTGCAACCAGCCTGCCTTTTATAGAAGACCTTATATTGCACAGGTCAGGAAGGCTGAGAAGGTATTTGCAGACCCTTCATATCCTGCACATAAACTCTTTCAGTTTCTCCCCTCAGGATGCCGCTACAGAGCACTGCAGACAAAAACAGCTAGACACAGGTATAGCTTTTTTCTATGGGCCATCACTCTGCTAAACACCTAATTCTCAGTCATCTCTACTGGAAATTTATCACATAGTATGGCTATGTATTATCACATAGTGTTACTATTTATCCTTATTATATTCTTTACTTCCTCTTATTTGTATTATTATTAGAATTATCATTATTCTGTTGTCTTGCATGTACATTGAGAATTTCTGCACCAGAGACAAATTCCTTGTGTCTATAATTACACTTGGCCAAATGAAGTATTCAATTCAATTCACATATGGCTTATGAGTGAGAAAACCCATTCAGGCTAATTTTAGTGAAGACTGGAAATATATGAGATTTGAGACTAGCTTTAATTCCACTGTGTTAATGTGTCCAGTCACTCTTATATTTGAGAAAGCCCAGATGCAACTGTGTCTTGAAATAATTTATAAATTTACCTTTTATGACAGTATCCAAAACTTTCAATTAATTTTTAACCTAGACATAGAAATCAGACTTAATCTAAAAAAAAAAATCTAAACATTGACATGAAACATGAACATTTTTCTAAACATGAAAAATCTAAAAATTGTGCCTACCTCTACATGGCATATTCTACAACTGTTTGTTCTAGTGTGATAAAAATATTTCTCAGTAACAACTTTTGCATCTATGTATGTGTAATATACAACAAAATACACATACTTGCTACTTCCTCCACTATTGTCTGTTTGCCTGACTTCTGAGTTACGACAGTGGGATAAGTTACTGTGAGCTTGCTGTTATGTTCTTTGCGAACAAGTGATCTTCCTGCTCTTGAAGATGGAAGGGGAAAAAAAACAGAAGCATTAACTCAACATGAGGACAAATCCTAATGGTTTATAAATTTGGGATGAAAGGAATAAAAATGCCCAGAAAAAGAAAAAAAGCTTACTTGCAGTTTGGACATTTCTTTGAAGTCATTTGTAATTTCCAAAATTGAGAGATAAGTTTACTTCTACATTCACACACATTTTTTACCTACACCAAGAATGAAAAGCAAAGTTCTAGAAATTATTCTGTAAATGAAACACAAATTTAAATACAGTTGATTATGAGCATTAACAATAACAACCTTAATTTAAAATTTCACTCTGTATTGAGTTAAGAAACCTCCAATGTCACCAAAAGCATTTGTTATATTTATCCATGATTACATAAAAGAGAACGGCACACCTTCATCACTTACTTTCTATTCAGGGTTGAAGCATTCACAAAGCTTTCCATTTAAGTCTCACGTAGGATTTAACCAGGGGTGGGATGGTACTGGTTCTGCCCGGCTCTATAGAACCAGTAGTTCTGAAGAGCGGTAGACATTGAACCGGTTCTGTGTTTGCTGCTCTTTGGCCCACCCGCCCGGGCTCTTACCTGTCCTTTATTTCCTGCTTTGCGCAGCACAGCTGAGGTTGAAAAAGCAGGAAAAAAGTGGCTTTTGGAACACTGCGCATAGCACTTTTCAGATGTCTGGGCAGCACAGCTTAATGTTTTTTACATGCATGCACAGCATAGTCATCGAACAGCTAGTAACACTGGTTGAATCCCACCCCTGGATTTAACTTCTATACATTATTCAAAGCCAGGAAAATCCTGAATTCATTCTTCCAATTAGCTAGGACTTCTAGTCTAAATATTACCTAGCAAACCAACATATGCCACCTACATCCACTAACTAGGCAGTGACCCTTCCAAATGTTAAAGAGATAATAGGAAGAATGAATCCAGGATTTTCCTGCCTGCAGACAGAAAGCCGTTTTCTTTTCTGAGCAGCCTACAATTATATTGCATTACTTTTGGAACAGATGAAATTAGGAAATAACAGTTTGGCCTTAAACTATGAAAGAAAAATGTCACATAAGTCAGAATAATCAACATGTCCATAAAGAACCACTGATTCACAATTTAATGGGAAATTAGAAGAAGCTGTTCATTAAAAGCAATGTAAACAATTACATTAAACATTGATCCTTCTTACTTACATGTGCACTGTAATCTCTAAGCTGATGATTTTGGAGCATATCCTTTGTGTGGCAACTTAACACTTCTTCAATTTCAGCACCAATTACATCTGAGCTTTCATCTAAAAACTGAGAGAATTATGACATTACAAATATATGAAATACTGTCAAAACAGATTAAGCAAAATAAAACTTACCCTACTCAGGATTGTTTCAAGATCATGGACCTCTTGAATCAATCCTATTTCTAGTAGCTTTAGCTGATTTAGTAATAAATGAATTGCAGCTCGTGGACATGTTAAATGGGAACAATTCAAGCAGGAGCCTCGCATCAGAAGGAATAATTTCTGAAAATAAGAACACTTGCTTTATTATCCTACTAATTCACATGTGTTTAATACTATGTCAATGTTATTTTGTTATATTACAACAGAGTGGAAAGGTTATTATTATATATTATTAATTATGAATACTTCTATTTTCAAATTCTGAATGCAATAATTCACTGCTATCCATCTCCAACTTAACTATGTCTTAATATACTTACATCAAAAAAGAGAGGATTATAAACAGTGAGAGGTAGTTCTATGTGACCTAAATGACCAGGACAGTTGTTGAAATCTTGCAGGCAAGTAACACAAACTTCCTTGTTGTCAAGAGGTCCCAAAGCCAAATCATATAGTCCATTTGGGGATGGAGTACCCGCATTATCAAGAAAAAGAGGATTGGTTATAGATTTTACACTCAATTTCCTAAAAGTAGAAGCAAAGAGGGGAAAAAAAACAAAGAAAGTGGCATGGAAATCTTAAAATTAATAATTACATTTTACAATACAACATGTATTAATTTCTTAGAAGTTTTACAGGTTTCATAAACTCAGAAAATATTCATCCAGAACAGCAATTATTTGCTCTTTTTTAACTATTTTAAAAAAAAGGAAGTATTATATTTTGCAAACTGTTACATTACAGAATTTTTACAGGCAATTTGTTGCATAGAACTATCCTATACTATATATGACTATTAACTCAAAGCATATACTAAGGAAAAATGTTATGTTTTGACGCACAGAAAACCAAGTCAAATTCAACAGACTCAAAACAGCTTAACTGGATTGCTAGATAGTATACATTTTAATATTTTTTACACATTTTCATCATAATTGCTTAATATTATCTGAAAACTGACTTTGTCTGTTCACACTTTTGAAGACACAGAAACCTCTTCCTAACTACGATGCCATCTGAGTACTGTACTATGTATCAGTCTGAAACCAAATTGAAAATAGCTTAGAATAAATTATCCATATCTTCCAGGACTATAACCTGATCACCTTCTCAACAACTTTCACTGGAATGGAAAGGTTTGAGATTAGATCCAGAACATTTGGGCCTAGTGAAGGTTTCTTGAGGATGGGTATATTACCACTTCTTCAAAGAAGAACAACATTACCACATGGACGAAAATGCATGTCTCCTTCCAGATGGCTTTTATCACCCAGGCAGACATAGGTCTAAAACAGAGGTGTCCAAATTCCTCAGTGTAATCCTATTTTTACCAAGAAAATCACATGGATAATGGTAAAACAATTCATAAAATTATGCTGCATTATGGACCTGTTGGAGCATCTGGTGCTCAACATGCTATTGAGGAAGAGTTGAAAATCTTTTGGAATACCAATGGTATTTAGGTTATGATTAGATCAAAACCTAAAGGATATCTAGTTGATGTCCCATGCAAGAAAACCTAATGTTGTAAAAACAAAATTACAGTAGGAATGTAATGTAAGAAGCAGGACATGCAAAAGTTGAACAGAATTTAAAATAAACTATGGACTGGAATTAAGCACTTTCAATCAAAAGATGATAGTTTATTACAGTACTTAGGACATGAAAAAGAAGCAACAGCACTGATTTCATAAACAGGATAAAACAAGGGAAGTATTTGGTGCAATTAAGTCAATGACTGAATATCAATTAAAGTTTGCGGTTTAGTATAATAGTTGTCCAGGTTTATGTTCGAACCACTGGTGCAAAAGACTGATACGCTTTATTATGATCAAACTAAAACATCGTGAACTGTCCTCGGGCGAAATTCTAAGACTAAAACGCGAAATCTTCGACATAAAACAGTAAGAATCGTCAGAAAAGCATTTTGACATTAGGCTGACAGATAGGACACGCAGTCACATTAACTAAATCCCTCAATGTGGGCGGATGCCCGGGGAAACTAACTTCTGACCGCTGCGTCAAGCGGTCTGTTCTTCCTGCCGCCCGAATTTACCGTATCTCTGCGTCCGTATACATCCCAAACGACAACCCGGTCAGGCGCCTCCACGGCACCTCCTTTGCAGCCATGACTCCGACCGACCAGATCACCGGCAACGCAGCCTAGATAATCGCCAAACAAGCTCAGGGAACCGTCGCGTGCTCGCAGCATGCGCTCTGCGGTGTTGCGGGTCACAGCTTCCGCTTCCGGTCCCTTCCGCATTTTCAGCACCAGGAGGCCAGTTCCGTTATGGCGGCTTGGAGGTTGCGGCGGTGTCCGTTTCCCGCCCGAGACTTGTTGCAGAGAAGGCTCGTCGTTTCGGGAGTATCTGGCTCTTTTAGGGAAGGGGGCGACAGGTAGGTTGGATCGTATCGACGCAAAACCAGGAGTCCCGTTAATGACTTGGAAAGGTGAGGCGCTGAAATATACGAGGTTGCAGCTGTAATTTAATGAATAGGATTGCATCCGTTTCGTCGTCTCGGATTGCCTGTACTCGAGGCTGGATGGCAAATCGTTCTTAATATTGGTATTTCGTCGTAATTATAATTATATTTTATATTCCCTGCTCTATTAGTTTAAAAGCAAGTAATCTGAAGCTTTCTAGGCGTTTTGAACTATAACGTCTCATGAGCTACGACGCAAGCCACGAGGAGAGAGTCAGAAAGTTCTAACCTAAGATTTATTTAACTTTGCTCTAAAGCAAACGTGTTTTTCCTCTGGGCACACTAAAGTTTTTTTTTTTTCAAATTACGTTGCAAAATACAAAAATGGCACGCAGTAGATATTAATATTAAATACAATTATTACTGCCTATATATTCAATAAATTTCCCCTCTTTAAAATGTTAACAAGAAGAGCTCTTAAAAATTATTCAGTGGTTGTGCATAAATCCTTATATAACGTTTTATTTATTTAGTTTCTATATCCTGTCATGGAATTCTGCTGCCTCTTGTAAATAATTATGCCTGAATGTTAGGAAGTGCTTCCCCACAATTAGAACAACTTATTCAGAGAAATAATGAATCCCACAGCTCCATGTATTCAAGCATAGAATAAACAACTTTATATTTGATGTGTTTTAATCTTGATTATTGCACTTAACAAAAGATTAAATAAATAATAAACGATTGTCTAATCAATGATTCGAGGATATTAAATAAAGCCATAACTAGAAGTGCTTGGATAAATTGTAAAGACCTATCTCAAAAAAGCCAAAAATTTGCTTATTTTCTATTTGAGATAGTTTTTCAGAAATAGATTGGATTCATATATCACAGCCATAAAATGCTTTAATTTTAACTTAAGATGTTGCACGGACTTAGTATCTTTATTTCAACAATTATGCTTCATAATATAATGTATTGTTTAACTTTAGTCAGTAAATCATGGCAAATGAACCATGGCTAAACACTGTAATAAGATCTACCTCGCAACATTATTGGTGTGGGAAAAATAGGAAGTATAATAAATAAGCAAGGGTGTCAAACTCTTAGTTCATTGAGGGCTGCATCAGGGTTGTATTTGACCTTGGAGGGCTTGGTGAGCATGGTGGGGGTGGACGTGACCACCTCAGCATCACTTCTGCAGCACTTTGCAAGCAAAAAAGGAGCTGGCGGGGGGCGTGTGCTGCTCCCCCAGGCTCTGTTTTCGGCTGTGATGGCCTCCTGCGGCCCTTTGCCAGCATAAATGGAGATGGGGACTTCCAAGCTCTGTTTTTGCTGGCAGAGGAACGGGAGTTGGGGTTGTTTCGCTGTTCCCCAGGCAGCCCCAGGGGCTAAATCTAAGTGCCCCAGCCTGCAGGCCTTGAGTTGACATCCCTGTATCCCAGAATATTATATATTCAATAGGATTCTTTTAAATTATGTATTAGATAAATATATAGAGTGTGTGTGCATGTACATTTATCCATATTATTTTTCTTAGGCACCATTCAGAAAATGCAACCCTTCTGGAAAAATCCCCCATCGTGAAAGGTATAATATTTTGTTGTGTTCACACATGTACTATTAAAACACATATTTGCAAATGATAAATTTATCATTTCAATTAATATATGTCACATAGTCTATATTTGTAAATAAACTTGAAGACTTTGGACTTGTTTCTGAATAAATTTGCTTCCAATAGAGACAACACTTAATTAAAATTGTTGTTTTAAAATAGTCAACTTGAATGACTAATGTAATTCTATTCAGAATTAAAATTTTAATAGTTAAACATTTTTCAGATGAATAATAACTTAATAAGTTAGTTATACTTGCTTTTGTTTTTTATAATTGCAGAAGAAACTATTTTACTTCCAAGAAAAAAAATCTGGTGAGTTTTTTGTCCCAGGAACTATATTACTATCCTTTAATGGCAACTTACAATAAGTTTAAAATAACCATAAGCCACAAACATAAATAATGGTATACAGCTTTACAGAGCTTTTGTGAAATGATTGTGAAATTTTCCCATAAGCCATCAGGAATCTTGCATATTCTGGATCAGCTGAAGTTCATAAACACTTTTGTTAAATAATTGCTTGCTTTAGGGATATCTGTTTACTATAAGAAAAACATTCCTAGATACTATCCCAAATGTTTAACATGTGCAGTTGTAAACAATATTTTAATATTTGGTTGTGGGATTACCATGTTCTAAGGTAACAAAGTAAAACAAATTTCAGTTTTCTCCCATTTTAAAGGAGTACCGTTTCAAAATAAAATATGAGCCATGCCTAACTATAAGACATGCTTTCTTGTTCAAATGTGATTGTGCATGTTACCATAGTCAGGCCTTGTCAAACACATCTACTATAAATGTAGCTGTCATTCCTCTTGCATAGTATGCCTAGTACAACTATGGCCTAAGTACATAAGCTTAGCTTCTAAAGTAAAGTATCTGCGCTACACAAGATATTTTTTATTGATTAAGAAACTACTACCGTGTTTCTCAGAAAGTAAGACTGGGATAGATAGATAGATAGATAGATAGATAGATAGATAGATAGATAGATATTTAGACGCCCAAAAAAATGGCTAGGCCATCTTTTCGAGTGGTGCCTTAATTCCCCCTCCCTCCGTGCACCCTTGCCTGTCCACCGGGCAGCTTCTTCAGCAGCTGTAAGTAGCACCCCATGTGCACCCTTGCTTGCCTACCTGTCATCCATTCTGGGAAGCTTGGCCACTGTGCAGCTACTTTTGATCCCTGCTTTCCCTGCTGCAGTCGTCATTCCCCCCCCCCCCCCCCCCGGCTTTTTTTCTCACAAGAAATGAGCAAGAAAAAAAAGGGGGGGAGGCACTTTTCAAAAGTCTATTCACTTGTCATGATCAGCCCCTGCCATGAATGTTTGTGTGTGTGTGTGTGTGATGGGGGTTGTTTTTGTCAGAGATTAGGGAAGGGGTGGTGGATTGGAAGAGATTTTCCCCATAAGAGCGGACACCACAATGCTTATAGGGTGTGATTTATCCAGGCTGCTCTCTCCTGTTATCTCTGCAGCCTTTCAGGAAAGTTTTCTGTTGTGGATTTTTGATTTTTCCCAATTTGTTTGCTGGGGGTGGCGTCCATTCTAGCTTCTGCCTCTCACAGCTTCCAGAGTTTTCCTAGTCTCCAAATAAGTGCGCGTGCGCGCGCGCACACACACACACACACACACAGGAGGGGCTTCCATCCAATGCAGTGTCTCTGTATTAATTGGTGTTATTCTGCTGTTATTCTCCTCGCTTAGAGTTGGAACAACTTTTCTTTAGAGAAAGAGATTGGGGTGGGGGGGGATTTATCACTTAGCTTTTCAGCAGCCCGACTTTAAAAATGGCAGGTGGGGGAGGAGAAAGAAGAATTAAAATACAACAAGGCGTGTGGATTCTAAAGAAACAAACACTTGCTGTCTTGGGTGGCTTTCTGGGTTTTTTTTTTTTCTGTGGCCAGGTGAAAAGCCATATGGGGGAGTGAGGAGGACTTTCAGGTTCAGAAACTCTTGGTTAAGTAAGTTGCACGAGCTGCTATTTCTTCTCCCCTCCCTGCCCCCATTTCATGTTGCCTTTGATCAGATCTTAATGATAAACAACCCTTTGGTAACCTACCAACTGCCTACCAAATCCCAGCCACCCCCAGGAGAACCACAAAGCAAATCCCAGCTTCCCCCAGAGGAACCACAAAGCAATACCCCACTTTATTAAAAATCCACCATTTTATTATAAAAAAAATAGATAAACGAACCAATTTATTCAAAATCCACAATTTATTCAAATGCAGGCACAATTTATTCAAAAATATTTATGTCATCTTCTTCTGGAATATTGTTATAACTCTCCAAACCCTGGATTCCAGCTGGAATCTCTTGTGATTGGTCCCAATCGCTGATGTCCCCCTCGCTCCCCAATATGGCTCTTCACCTGGCCGCAGAAAAAAAAAAAAGAAAGCTACCCAAGATAGCAAGTGTTTGTTTCTTTAGAATCCACACACCTTGTATTTTAATTTTCCTTTCTTGTCCCCCACCTGCCGTTTTTAAAGATGAGCAGCTGAAAAGCTAAGCGATTCAGGTTTGCAAAGTCTGGGTGATTAACGGATCCTCCCCCCACACCAAATCTCTTTCTCTAAAGAAGTTGCTCCAACTCTAAGCTAGCAGAATTACGGCAGAATAACACTGATTAATACAGATACAGTGCATTGGACAGAAGCGCCCCCCCCCCCCGTGTGTGTGTGTGCGTCCATATTCGGAGACTGGGAAAACTCCGGAAGCTGTGATCGGCAGAGGCTAGAGGAGGATGGATGCCAGCCCCCACCCCCCTTCCGCAAGCAAATTGGGAAAAATCAAAAATCCACCATAGAAAATTTTCCTGAAAGACTGCAGAGATAACAGGAGAGGACAGCCTGGATAAATCAGACCCTACAAGCATTGCGTTCTCCACTCGTGGTGAAAATCTCTTCCAATCCACCACCCCTTCCCTAATCTCTGCCAGAAAAACACACCCCGTTCCACACACACACACACACACACACACACAGACACAGAACAGGGGCTGATCATGATAGTGTGAAAAGTCCTAGACTTTTGAAAAGTACCTCTCCCCTTCTCCCTTTTTTTTTCTTGCTCATTTTTCTTGTGTGTGAGAAAGAAAGCCGGGGGGGGGGGGAGATGTTTGGCGGGGGGCCTTTGGATGAGCAACGACTGTGGCAGAGAAAGCAGGAATCAAAAGAATTAGTGAGGCATGGGAGTGCAATCCAATGGACAGATGATCCAATGGACAGGTAAGTCATGTGGGATGAATTTGGCAAGGTTATCCCCCCTCCTCCGCCCTTCCTCCCCATGCCTCTTCACCTCGTATTGTCTGCACTTCAAGTGATGTGACAAATGGGGAAATTTAAGCCGCGCATGCACTTAAATAGGCCCAAATTTTGGGGGCAGGCCTTAATTTAACTACATGCGCACAAAGCAGTGCTGGGCCTTCGTTGGGGTGGGGGCCGTATTGTTGGAGAAACATGGTACTTATTTGCACAAAGGGGGAGTTCCATACTGGAGGTGGCTGCTGGATTGATGGCATATTCAACCTCCCAGCCTTGTGCTCTGTTGTTGATACATTGATTATCATATTGTTATATTCTTATAGTCCTTTTTAATTGTTTATTTTATGGGTTCTATTTTACTTCTGGTTTGTCCTCATTTCTTACCATCCTATTTTCTTTCTGTTTATCCTCCTCTCATTTTTGTCCTTTTTATTATTACAAGCTGTTTAAAGTAGCCCCATACAGGTGGGAAATAAATTTAACAAATAAATAAATTTAAATAAAAGCTCATTCATTCAGGCTTGTTTATTGACAATTGAATATGTAAGATTCTGAAGCATCATTTTAGATCTGTGTATCTTTGAATTTTTGTTAGGTAAATTGCACCAGAGTTTCCGTTGAATGCAATATGCAAATTAAAAATAATACTGCAAATTTAAACTTTAACATATTTTGCTTAAAATTAGGGATAAATCAGCAGTTCTTCAGGCACTTGCATTAACTGTAAACAGGGTAAGTACTATCCATTGGGTTACTGGTCCTTTTTTATATAAAATACTGTAGAGATTACAAAATATATATTTATCTGTATCATATGTTGACTGTAATATTATTTCATGTTACATCTATTCCTTTATATGAAGGGGAAAAGTATGACATTTCAGCTAACAATACAAACATAATACTATGTTCAGTGTTGAAAAAAACTATTTTTTCCCATGGTAAACAGTAGCACAAAGATGTTGTTTACAAAGTTATTAATATTTGATAGCATCAGCTTCCTTCTGAAAACATCTGCCTGAATGTTTTACAGAATATTAATTCATTTTGCTGATAACCCCAAAACAATTTTTTCTCTTATCAAGGCTTTTTTACAAGTATACAGTAATATTAAGGAGTACAGTCATGAGTTTTTCCTAATAGAAGAGCTTTCCAGTATTAAATTATTTATTAAATTTAATATTGGTACAGCAGAAAGATGAATCTATTGTTCATTTCAGCAGAATCTATATATTAAATGTTTTTTTCGTCCTCCTTACAGGATATTACAGCTGTTCCCTATACGTTTCAAGATGATCCTTATCTTATCCCCAGAAATTCTTCAGAGCATGTAAGTGACTCTTCTGAAACTTTATTTGGCAGAAGCAAACAAAACAATGATTTACGCAGCCCCCCCCTCCCCCCCACCCCCCCAGCTCCTTTTTTGCTGGCAGAGTATTGCAGAAGGCTGTCCAGGCTGAAAATGGGGCCCAAGGCACAGCCTTCGCTAGCAGATGCACCATAGGCCAGTCCTTTGCTGCTTCCAAGGCCGGTCCTACAGGCCAGTTCTAAGCCTTGAGTTTGCACTACTGGTATAGACAGATTCCATTATTTCTAGTGTACTTTTGGAATTCTAAATTCCCTTATTTTTACACACTGATAATCTAATAGGCTCAGTTGGAAGAGGAAAAGCTACATCCATCTCCTCCATTGTGTCATATGCAGAGTTGCTTACTAAAGTTCACATATTATAATATAAACCAATGAAAATCATTTAAAAATAGATGTTTAATAGACAATCTTATTTAAAGTTAATAAGGAAAATGTATTTGCCTTTAGGGGTTGCATGCAGTCCTTGACATGGGACTATGATGAAGCCTGGAATTTAGTGGTAAATTGTTGCATTCATAAGTCAAGGTATCATGTGATTGGACTCAATTTTATGACCACTTTTATGACAATTGTAAAGTGAGTCGGCATGGTCATTAAGCAACTCATGTTGAAGCATGTGATTGTTAAGCAAACCAAAGTTATCGAATAGACAATTTTTTTAATTCATTGCAAACTAATCATAAGGCAAGTTCTTATATACTTCCTTAATTGAAAGGACTTCTGCCAATATACAACATTGGAAAAATGGGACTTATAGTTGAGCTTAGGACCATTGTAGCATCTCATGGCCATGTGATTATAATTTGGTTGCCTGACAACTGGCATATATTTATTGTGATTGCAGCATCCCAGGGTTGCATGATCACCATTTGCTATCTTCCCAGTCTTCCACCAAGCAAAATTGATGTGAGAAACTAGATTCAGTTAATGACTGCATGATTAAACTTTATTGCAGTGATTTTCTTAATTGTGGGCAAAAAAAGATAGCAATATCAGGTGCATCTCACATAGCAAAATCAGTCAAACAAAAATTCTGGTTCCAGTGTGCTTGTAAGCCAAGGACTACTTGTATGATGAATAGGATGCGTTATGCATTATTTTTTTCCCAGAATAATACAGGTGTATTCTTTTCACAGCATTTCTTTTCCTCATCAAAAACATCAGGACAAAATGCAGCCAAATTTGTTATTAACACACATCCTGAACTTTTTGAGAAAGACTATGCTGAACCTCACATTCAGGTAACCTTTGCACTCTTTATATAATACATAATTCACATTTATAACATACAATGATAGATTTCATATGAATCAAACAACATTATTTCCTCAATTAATCCATTGCTTGAATACTGTATGTTTAAATAATTTAACTTGAATTTGTTAGATTCATGGTTTCTCTGCTTTGACATAGTCCTTTGTTCTGTACTACGATAAAGATACTTAAGCCCATCCTGTTTTTTCTTTGCTAAATATACATTATTGCTTAACTTAGCATAATTTTATCTTGTACTGCCTACACACATTTACTTTAAGAATTGATAAGGTGGCATTATTGTGAGAACTTCACTCAGGGTATAGCAATAAGTCTCTCCCTAGAAATTCAGAAAGTACTAAAAATCACTAACGGAGGAATCAATGAAAAGGTTTGAAGAGCAAGATCACTTTTACTATAAACATAAGAAATCTTGATAATGAACAATATCTGCCATAAAAATCTAGAAAATCAGCCCGTTATATATATAGAAACCACAGGATTTAAATCTGCAGTCTTCTGTGCTTAAATAGTTATGAACTTGCTGCGTCTAGCTGCCACAATTAGCAATTTGCATATTTAACCCTTCAGTGTGGAGGATACCTGCAATGATACTGGTTATGACTAGGGTTAGAGTGAAGCTTGAATCCAACAAGATCAGAAGCAAACAGCAAACACAGTTACAATAACTGTCCAGATGAAGTTCTGGAGCTTCTCTTGCCCCAAAGCATGGTATACTCAGTCTGTTGTGCCATGCAAGCAGGAGAGTCTTAAGATTGAATCAGTGCATCTAATATGCATAAGATAGCAAGAGAGCTAATCCTGCTTCGCTGTTCTTATTGTCAGAGTAAAGGTCTAAATGTGGATTTGTATCTGAGTTTGGCTATGCCATTGCCATTCCAGGTATCATTTGAATTACTGGAATTCCTTAGTGGTGGATCACATTAGGATTCAAGTAACTGAGAGGGGGCCACTCAAGAACCAAGTGGTTTAATATAAAATTTAATAAATTTGTCTTTCAGTGTAAACAAATTCTTATTATATTTGAAATGGCAACTTACAATTTAATTTTCAGCATGATTACATATTCTTTAAGTAGGGCATGATATTCCACTGAGAAGGGTTACAGTAAAATTAAAACCACTGTAGTATATAGATAGGTTTGTGACTAAGATTTTTGGAAAACTGAAACTTCTGCTTATACACTGTACTGTTTTTAATTATCCTGATAGTTTAAGACAGAGAGCTAAATCCCAGGCCTAGTGAGGAAGTTTGTTCCTACAATTGTTGCTATTTTCAAGACATGCTTCCATCAAAATTATGGAAGAAGAAACTTCATGCTGCTGCTCCCAATCTGAATCCTATCCTCCTGCTTTTCAGTGAAAAAAAGTTAATAGATTTAGGCATACCAGTCTCCTTGCAGATTGCTAAATTCACAATAGCTTTGCAGAACATTTAATCCTAATTGTATTGTGTTGTTCCCTTTAGAGTCTTATGCCAAAAACGTTGGTATTGGAACTTGAAGAAGTGAGTGAGGTTGCATTAAAAAATCTAATTCAGCTAAGAAAAGTAAAAGCATCTGTGAATATGTTTGATCAGCTTCTACAAGCAGGTATTAGCCTAAACCAACAGTTAAAATAAACAGATTTGGGTGGGTATAAGCTGTTTTAAATTTGCAAAGATTTAACTTATGAGAATTAACTCATTAGTAAATGCTTATAAAATTAATAAATGCTTATAAAATAACGATAGGTATTATATGGTCAAAGATATTTTGGAATATTTCTTCAATTTTAACAATAGAAACAAATTCTATAAAAAAAATTTTTTTAAAGATGTACACTAAAGCAGCGGTCGCCAACCGGTGGGCCATGAGAAAATTTTGGTGGGCCGCAGAGAAATCTCACCCCCAGAACACCCCCCCCCCAAAGCAATTAATTCAGGCTGCGCAGAAACACAAGTCTGTGCCGCCCACGTGGCCTGCGGAAACCTTCCCTGCCCACTCACTCCTTAACCAGCAAACTTGCCTGCTAAATTGTTATTTTTCCTTTTTCCGACCATCATCTGTTCTGCTTTGCCGGGAGATTAGCTAGGAAGCAGAAAATGGTTGGATTTCTTGCTTTCTAGCTAGTCTTTAGATCTTCGGCTCTGCTTTTAAGCACAGCTGAACCTTCCTTAGGACTGAAGGTTCTATTATTCAGTGCAGACTCACGGCAAGCAAATTTGAGAGACTGAGCTAGCCAATGGCAGATATATAGATCACTGAAAGATTCTGTGAGCAACTCAATCTGCCTGCCTGCTTTGCCTGATTTGGGGTAAAAGTTGCTCTTTTAAAAAAAATAAAAAATTCAATATTTATATTCATGGTATGTTGTGAGTTAATTTTGTGAGTTTGCTTGCTAGCAAATTTTATGTGACAGAGCTAGCCAATGGCAGATAGATGGATTTCTGAATGAATCTGTGATTCTGTGAGCAACTCAATCTGCCTGCCTGCTTTGCCTGATTTTGGGTAAAAGTTGCTCTTTTTTAATAACAAAATTCAATATTTATATAAATATTTATAATATTTACATACAAGCTGTGCCCAGCCTGTCACATGACCACTGAGCCACACCCACAAATTAGGCCACGCCCACAAAAGCCGGTTAGTGGTCCCTGGGATTTAAAATTATGAGTTTGGTGTTCCCTGAGGTCCAAAAGGATGGTGACCCCTGCACTAAAGTACTTAAAAGACCAGCAAGGTTATTGCAATATGTGCAATCCGGTCAGCCCTGACCATCCTGGCCATGCACCCCCATCCCAGTCCCCCGAGGACAACCACAGTGCTGATGAGGCCTGCAATGAAATTTAGTTTCACACCCCTGTTATAGGATAATTGTGTTATGGTGTTAATAGATGGCTAGCTAGAGTATAAGACATAGGCCTATGCCTGATCCACTGGCTCATTGTGTTGTGATTCACAAAACCTGTGACAAACGCTTAAGACCTAGTGGTGAACTTTATTTTATTTTGAAAGTGTTTTAGGTAGCCTTTAAATTTTTTTCTTCCTTGCACCTTCGGGTAATTTTGCTTATTTTGCTTGTTTGTTCACTGCAGTGGATAGCAAGGCTATCCAAAACAGTAGTAAATGTCAGTATTCCAAAGCCATGGTAATTGTGATTGGTCATTCAACAAACCATGTTCTGTTTATGACATTTCAAGTTTAACAAGTTATTAATATGTTTATACATCAGCAAATTCCATTGCTATGATTTACAGTTCATGTTTTTTGCATTTGCAGGAACAAGTATACCTCTGGAGACCTCGAACAATCTTCTGGATCTTCTGTGTTTTTATGGAGATAGAGAACCAGATCAGGAGAATGATAGCAGTTTAGAAAAACAAGTAAATAAGGATGGATGGTTTTTTTGAATAAGGCTATATCTGTTATGTATAAAAAACAACAGTGTTTGGATATTTCCAACTGCTGTGAAAGGGAGCTAGGTGCCTGTCCTGTTGTCCTAGTTTTTCATAATAAGTCTAAATAGAGAATTAGAAATAACTAGTTCGCTGGGACCCTGAACTTTGTATAAAGATATTTTAAACAACCTAGTTTAAGAGATAATTATGTTAGGCATATATATTCATGTGCCAGAAGGCTAACACTTGAATTCTTATGCAGGAAGACACCGCGCCAAGAAGGGAGTTTGCAAGGAACTCTTCTAAATCCCGACAAATTACATGGAGGTATGAAATATATTAGCAACAATGTCTTGGGGTACATTTGCATGCATTTTAATTGGAAAGCCAGGATTTTTCTTATATATTAAGTACCTATTCAAAAATGCATTAAACAAATAAATGCTATATAAAAAGTAACTTAATATAACCTTAGCATATTGATTTGTATTTTCAGACTTGCAAGATTTGGCTAATGTAGCTTTACAAAAATGTAGAACTAGTTTATCTGATTGTGTTTGCTGTCTGATCTATCTCCCTGACATCAGTCTTGCAAATATGAAAATACAGATTTCATACCATCCCCTTATTAGCCCAAGAAACTAGGGAGATTCCCTTCTGAGCCACTTACTCCACTCACTATCCAGTTGCAGGCTATGCCTTCTGTTATCTGTTCCATAGGCAGCATCTTTGTATCCTCTTTCTGAAGGTCTTTCCCTTTCCACCTTAGCAGCCTGGAGTGTGAGTGGCAGGTACATGCACAAGTTCCATCCACTTATACAGATGGAGCTTCATGTGTGAGTGAAGGGCGTTTGGGCTCCTGTGTGAAGTTCCACTCACTTGGGCAGACGCCACTTGTGCCCGTGTGTGAGTGGACAGTAGAGTTTCCTGCACACTTGCCCATCACTTGCATGGTCCGGTTTCAAATAGGCCATGGCCCGGGGGTAGGAGACTTTCCCCATATATCATTACGGTTTGTGAGCATCTGCAAATTTTTGGACAGGTTGTGTAAAATAGGTCCCCAATCCCCAGGCAGGGAAGCGCTACCAATGGCCACCGCCCATTGGGAACCGGGTTGCTGAAGCAGCAGGCAAGTGAGCAAAGCTTCATGTGTGCATGCATGGGATTTAGGTTGCACTTGCCAAACCACTACCACCCTTGCAGGACCAAAAAAGGTTGGGGACCCCTGATCTAAAAGATTTAATTATGTTTATTTGTTTTTTATCCTGCCTTTGTTACTGTATAAATAACTCAAGGCAATGAATATCCATAATATTCCTTATTCTTCCTATTTTCCCCACAATTAACCCTGTGAAATGGAGTGTATTATCAGAGATTGACCAGCCTAAAGTCACCCAGCCAGCTTTCATGCCTAAACTGGGATTAGAACTCTCAAGCTCCTAGTTTCTGGACCAGCATCTTAACCACTACACCAAACTGGCTTTATGTTAAACCCTAGAAGAAAAGTGAGATAAAATGTAATAACAAAAATAATCTTACATGCTGTTGTGTATGAAAAAATGGAAATGTGTAAATGTTGGAAAATGTGTAATATATGTATAAGATTCAAAAGAAGAAGAAAAAACAGCTACCAAATTAGATATTGTATATATTACCTATGCAGTTTGTCAAAAATGTGATGATGATACAGTGCATGTTCATCCACAAAGATTTCATATCTTGAAAAAAGAAACTATATTGGATGCTTAAATATATAATGTATGTAATAGGCAGACAGGCGTGAACATATCACAGATTTTATAACCACACTTTAGAGAACATCTATTATTGTCAGTATGTTATCTTTTTTAAATTCTAGGGAAAACAACAATGCTGAGAGAATATTTCACCTAATGCCTGAAAAAAATGTACATTCCTATTGTACAATGATCAAGGGAATGGTGAAGGTACAATCGTAATCTTTCTAACAAATTTAGTTCTCTTTTTTCCTCCAAATCTATATAATAATATTTTACACATTTTGGTCATTACAGCATGGAGAGTGCCAAAAAGCTTTTAACATGTACGCTGATATGGTGAATAAAAATCTTAAGGGTAAGCTTTGGATACTATTGCATAAAAATGTGCCAATAAGAAAAGCTAGAAATAAGCTGTGCGTACAGAATTGGTCCTTCTACGGTATAACTACTGCAATGTTTGCGAGTAGTTTCGTAAATAATAGATGCTAAATAAAAATGGTAACACAGAATTTGATAGTGCAGATTGTCTTCACTTAATGATAAGTCAGACAATTCTTTGAAGTTACGATAGTGCTAAGCAATGGTACTTAGGCTCAGTCCCCAAAGTTATGGACTGCAAGGTGCACTTCAACACCACCCATCATATTTTCCCCTTTCTCTGCCCTTTTAACCCCCAGTGCTCCTGGCTCCTACCCTCCTATTCTCCACCTGTTTTCCTCAAGACTTTGGGAAGAAGGCCTCATGTAGCCAAGAGCCAGGCTAGCCATGTCTTGTTAGCGCTGGTAACAGTGCATTATAATAGTCTATGCAAAGGTAACCAGGGCAAGGTAACGGTGACAAAAGTTTCATTGTTCAGAAATGGGCACAATTTGCTTTGCTGCTCTTTTTGCTACAAGTTAGGCCTAAACAGCAGATTGACCTATGTTGGTGAAATTCGTTCTTTGTGGACCTGGCAACTAATGAACCTGCAAGGATTCCAGAGGGAACCAGGTTTGTTCCTGAGGGTCTACTGCATGATGTGTATCCTATGCAAACTCTCCCTCCTGGGGATCCCATTGCTGTCTGTGATTTACAATAAAGCTGAGTAAAGTGAATGAGAGAAGAAACATCTGGAGGTCAACAAAGAATGAACTTCACCAAAACAGGTCAATCTTCTGTTTAGGCCTAACTTGTGACAAAAAAGAGCAGCAAAGCAATAGTATTATTTATCTGCTCTATTGCATCTTCAAATTCAGCAGCCTTGTTTCAGGTGACTCAAATCTTCCAGGCAATTAACCTGAAAATTTTTATCTTCAAGACCAAGCAGAAGTATTTTCAGAGCATCTGTTAAACAAAATCACTCAAATTCATTCCCTGTTAGATGCCAACCTTGGTGCAGGTCTGGTGGAGATATCTGTGGCACAGGCTTGCCCTGTTAACTGAAAGTAGTTTGAACCTGTTGGACCTGAGGAAGCATATAGGCTCCTTATGATTATGAATTTGGACACTTTGATATAGATCCTGAATGAAGCAGATTATCTGGGCCAATTTGAGTGAAGATTCAGATCTGGAGATGGGGAAGAAACAGCATTGGTTTGGTTGATTTGAATAATCTCTGGGAGAACAAGGTAGAAGTAGTGCATCCATCCTGGCTCTGCTTGACCTCTCAATAGCTTTCACTAACATTAATTACAGTATCTTTCCGAATCAGCTTTGGGGATTCCGAGTGGGCAGCATAGTATTTATTGTGCTAGTTCTCTTCCTTCCTCAGAAGCCAATAGTAGTTGGTGCTGACTGGGAATGAAAGAATGTGCAGCCATTGAGAGAGATCATCTATCACTAAGAGGGAGTCAGGAGGGTTCTTGCACAGCTTTGTATTGTGTGCTGATTGTGCCCATTTCTGAACCATGAGACTTTTGTCACAATTACCTTGCCCTGATCACCTTTGCATAGACTATTATAATGTAATGGAGCTGCTGTTGAAAGGTATCCAGCAGCGTCGGCCACTTCAAAATGCAGTTACATGGGCAATTGTATTGGCCTTGTAAGAAAACACATGTTACACTTCTGCTTTGTGGACTGCTTTGTCTACAGTTTGTTTTTAGGTCCAATATAATATGCTGATTTTGAGTCCTACATGGCATGGGTCAGTTTATCTGATAGATTTCCCCTTCCCAATTATATCTACCTGTCCCACCTGGAAAGAGAGGAATGTTGTGGCTCCCATTTGGGAAAGCATTCCACTTGAAGGGATTTTTAAAAGTGAGCCTTTTCTACTGAGACCCTCTGGAATAATAAGCCTCCTGAGGTGATTTTAGCCCCAACATTCATAGCCTTTCAGCCCTTAAAACATGTTTTTTTTTCCCAACGAGTTGGGGATACTTGGTAATCTGTTGTCTGCGTTATATGTAATATTCTCCTACTTGTGGTCTTTTCTATCTATGTTCATTGTTTTAATTGGTTTGTTTTAATAGGAGACTTTATTTCCACTGTGTGAGATAGTCGTTTCTATAAATATGACAAATAAGTGGCCGTGTTTTATTGAGAAGAGAGATATAATTGATTATATGGCAATGCTGCTTGTGGTCTTAAGACATGTCTTTCCTCTAGATATAGTACAGAATTTGCAGCAATGATGAGTGGCGCAGGGGTACGGACCTCAGCTGAATCATGGGGGCTGAGTGTGAGTTATCTGTGTTCCACCATTGCTGGCAAGTGGCTGGCTTTGGGGACCTGGCTCACATGAGAATTCCGCCTTAGTCTGAGCTGCTATAGATATACTGCTTCAGCCATAATACAAATAATACATATGCTATTTCTTATGGTATAACTGGCTTTCTGTTTGTTTCAGCTGATGTGAGCACCTTCAATACACTTATTTTAGCAGCTGTAGATGTTAAGGAAAAATACATTGAGAAATGGGCATGTATTGAAGTAAGAATAAACTTGATTTTAACTTTTCCATAGTAAATATTTTGCTGAAGTTAAATCCTGTTCTTTTATACTACAATTTATTATTAATGTACTTTTATAGTTACGTATCATCCACATTTGCTCATTTTCTAACATTCTGTGGTTATATACATAAATTCTCTGTAATTCAAAGGTTTTAATAATATGTCCATCAATGAGATAGAGCAACTTCTTTTATATAATGATCAATAAAAATATAATTACAGAAATTCCAGTATGTGGTATATGCATTCAATGCATGTGAGAAGGAGAGGAGCTTCAGTTGTGTATTCCTGACTTTGTAAACCTCCCCATGATACAGTTATAATTACTTGTATAAACAAAGAGCTACTCAAAACAACTACTTGAAAGAAAGGCTCCTTTAAAGCATCCATTGGTTTAATGAAATTCGATTTCCAAGTAGCTTCCAAATGACACGAGGGGACTGGTTACAAAAAAAAGGGCTTTTCCTTCTTCTGTGGAGCAGTTTCCTCGGGTTTACCTGGTGTCTGCATAGTTTTTCCTTCAACAAATATGTGGGCAAACAACTTTCTTTGGGGGGATTAGTATTTTTAACACTTATTTAACACTTAATTTTGTGCTATATTTACTACTGGGGGTGTTTCTGGCTATTTTATCAGTTTTACTTTCTATGCCAGATTTATCTTTAATCGTTATAATAATACATTTTAAATGATCAATGTAATTATAGAAGGATGTCGATGTATTCTAGAATGGCATTAAATAAATGCATGTGCAAATGCTAAGGAATTGGGTAGGGGAAAGTATGTAAATACACAATTTGAGGGAATGGGAACATTGTTAAATCAAATTCTTGATATTTTGGTTAATAGGACTTGCTGAGGCAGATGGCTGAACAGGATGTACAACCAAATCTGCTAACTTTTAATACTATCCTGAAAGCATTGAAGCAGTGTGGTAAAGTATCCCGGGCTAAGGCTAGACTGATCTTGAATGAGATGAGAGCACTAAATATAGGTAAGAATTTTCTGTAATCTGTAAGATTAATCCAATACACGTTTTCTGTATTAAAGCTTAGTAGTAATATTTCTTTAAAGAGATAATCCCATGACTAAAATTATATTTTGAATTATTCACCCATTTGGACATGCAACATTATTTAATTAATAATAAATTTCAGTAAAATTCCTTAAAAAGGACCTACCAAAAATGTTGAGACACTAGAAAGAGTGTAGAGAAGAGCAACGAAGATGATTAGGGGACTGGAAGCTAAAACATATAAAGAACAGTTGATGGACTTGGGTAGGTCTAGTTTAATGGAAAGAAGGACTGGGGTGACTTGATAGTGTTGCGATATCTCGGGGACTGCCACAGAGAAGAGCGAGTCAAGCTATTCTCCAAAGCACTTGAAGGCAGGACAAGACATAATGGAAGGAAAAAAAGCAACCTAGAACTAAGAAAAAATTTCCTGACAGACAATTAATCAGTGGAACAACTTGCTTCCAGAAGTTGTGAATGCTCCAACACTAGAAGTTTTGAAGAAGATATTGAACAACCATTTGTCTGAAATGCTATAGGATTTCCTGCCTGAGCAGGGGGTTGGACTAGAAGACCTCCAAGATCCCTAACAGCTCTGTTATTCTGTTAAAGAAATAGTATCTTAAACGGAGAGTGAGGACAGAAAATAGAATAGGATAAATTTAACCAAATATAAACCATGACCTTATAACATTAGACCACATCCCCCATCTCCCCTCTAGTCTTAAATATAGTTCTTTAGGAGCTCTCAAAGGTTGTTTCCGTTATATCTTGAAGGGGAAAAGAGAAAATTACTATGGAAAATAATCATTTTACCTTTAAATTATATCAAGTCATTAACTCAAATGTTACCCTGGTATGAAATAAGTTACATGCATCTAATACAATGTAATACATTTTTGTATGTTAACCATGATCAACCTTGATTTGTTATATCTTTATTTCAGAGCCTTGCTTCGCAACGTATTACCATTTGTTGTGCATGTCACATAACATTGGTATGTAGTGTCTGTTTTTATAGTTTGTGAATTTGTGTAAAATTCTGTTGTAATATCTCCCCTGGTTTTTGCTGCATAGAACCTGCTTCAGTTTTTCACTGAATGTGTGGATCTTTTTGTTTCACCTGTTTGGATCTTTTTTTCATACCAAATTCTAAAATAAAATATTGGTAATATTGAGACTCTTTTTAATTAATATTATATTTAGCAGAAATTTGTTATGCATGGTTCTGAAAGTCCTTGAGAGAATCAGAGACAATCCGGATAATTAACCTTCCGTTTGCACTTCTGTGCCTAATTTTAATGTACTAGTTTGTTGTTTTAAAGCTTCCTTACCTTGAGTTATAATAACTAGACAGAATTTACCATGATAAGAAGCACAACCAGTCTCTTCAATTATGAGCAGCAATCATAAAGAAAATTATTATGAAAACTATAATAATCTGTTTATAACTTGCCAATTTATCTGTTGCACCTGACTTTATAGTCCAATCTCATTTTCATAGAAACATATTTTACCTGCCTTTTAGTTATAACATAGTTCAATGAAACTTAATTCTTAACTCTGCTTTTTGTTGTACAGCTGGATTTTCTGAATCCCAGTCCCATATACTATATGCTATAGTAAATGAAATTGAAAGAAAAACTTTTTGTCCTCAGGATCCAGATGATGGTATGTACTTTTTAAAAAAAAAATATGGCAGTTTTGCATAGGGCATGACTAATGTATAACAAAGGTAGTTTTGAAGCTATATGAGACTTAATAAATAACAAAGTTCTTTGGTATTTGTTTCTATTCTAAGTAATTTATTAATATATACATCAATTTCTGTGAGTAAGCTACCGCAATATCGGTTGTCTATACCTTCTAGAAGATTTTGAAAAAAAGGCTAGGATGTTAAACAATAAAACCTCCATTTGTTAGAAAGAGGTATCAAATAATCATCTAGTTTTTTAGATGGACCATATAATCTAGTCATTTTGTCCCTGGTGGTACAACATCCAACTCTTTTCTTTAAATTTCAATCTAAAATGCCTTTTTTTAAAAATAAATAATCTTCCTTTGTTTTTAAGCTTGAAAGGAAAAATGAATTATTTCCATAGTTTGAAGATAAAATTTCAGACCTCTCTTTTGAATAAAAAGGCCAATTCAAATTGTACTTATGGTTCAGCATACATACTGGACTTATTAATATGGTCAAGCTATACTGAAGTATCTCCAAAATCCACATGCATGAGTTTCAGAAAATTCTAGCACACCTTCACCTGTAAAAACACACCTTCACCTGAAAGCACATCTTCACCTGTAAAAATCAATGGAAAAATTGAATACTTCAGCTAAAGTATATTTTCTTCCTTATATTTGTATTTTTAATCATTACCATTTTCCCCAGGCATTAGATTTGGTTCTGCACATGATTGTCTGTTCCTATAGATGAAATAGTAAATTTAAGAAAGCAGAATTAACTAATTGTTTAAGGCCCTAATGTAGTTCCAATTCTTTTAAAAGCTTTTGTGGCTCTCCTTTTTTAAAACAGTAAAATAAACTACAAGTTATTGTTTTTTAAATCTCAGCATAGCAAAACAAATCACAAAAATGTCCAAAAACAGACATTCTTTCAAAAATCCCAGGCTTCATTTCCTCAATGTCATCACAGCAACATTCAACTATTCAGATCCCAGATGGAAAATGACTCATCTTTTCTCTAATTAGACTGTGTAGAAAGTTCTTTTCAGAACTATAAATGTGCTGACATTTTCTTCTCCGTTCCAACTTGTGCTAGCTCTCTTTTGTTATTATGGGCTTCATGGTTCAACCCTAGATTACAATTTGTGCGGGGTCTAGCAGGACATCATTCCTGGCTTTCTGGGCAATAGGAGGATAACTCCTGTTGCTGGGTACCTCAGCATATCTCAAGTACCTTCAGAGTAAGGCTCCGTTTATGTGCTTAACCATTCTGTACTTGTTTGATTTAAGGTCAGTCTGTTTGGGGCATTTGGATGTAATGTTTTATTATTATAGTTTGCCTTAATCAGACTTAACATACCCAAAACAATCAGTTGTAGTTAATACAGAAAAATACAGTTTAGTTAAGCATGAGGTAATGTAATATGTTAGCTAAGTTTTAGTATTCGGTATTTTCTTCTCAATAGTTGATCAGGGTATAGTTACTTGTGCTCAAAGCTTTAAATGCAGTATTTAAATGCTATGTCACTATGGCTTTAGGTGTTATCTTGGTTTGAGAAGCAATGTGCTAGAGTTCTTTGACTGGATGCTTATGTTGTATTGTTACCGAGCCTTTAGAATTTGTTTCAATAATTCTAAGAAACCCTTTTTTGGATTGCGAGAGAAGGTCCAAAATTAACATTCCCCACTACTTCTTTTCCAGTCTACTTCTTTCCAAATGCAATGAAAACAGTAAGTAGATTTGATTTCTATATATTGAAGTAGGTACACATTCACACTTGTTTAAATGTAAATATATATTTCAGTAGCTTTCAGGCTATTTCTGTATTAGCTAGATTTAAAAACAATTTTTAAATGGTATATTCTCTCTGTAGTAAAATCTTAGCGAAAATATGTGGAATAATGTTGCAATCCAATGTGAGACTGTTTGCTGTTCTGCTGATCCAGAAAATAAGATGTCAAAAAAGATCAGCCCTGCTTTGCACTTCATCTAATTCTTCTAACCTTACCTGTCCTCTATCCATCATCTTGAGCTTGGTGGCACAGTGGTTACTGTGCAGTACTGCAGGCTAATTCTGCTGGCTGCTTGCAATTTGGCAGTTCAAATGTCACCAGGTTCAAGACTGACTCAGCCTCCACCCTTCTGAGGTGGGTAAAACAAGGGCCCAGATGGTTGGGAGCAATATACTGATTCTGTAAACCACTTAGAGAGGGTTGTAACGCACTGTAAAGCGGTATATAAGTCGTAAGTGCTATTGCTATCTTAAAAGATATTTTATGAACTTGTGACCTTTTATAAAATATGAATTAGGATTTTGTGATTCTTGCTAAAATTGAAAAAAAAATGTATGATGTTCTGTGTAGCAGAACTTTGCTATTTCTCGGATTCAAGGATTAATATATTGTGCCTTTATTACAGTGTCTGGAACTGAAGGACGTTCAACTTGCTTATCGACTACATAGAGTGCTGGAGAAAGCAGATAACAGGATAATGTTGGGAAATATGACACAGAAGAACTTTTATTAGTAATTGTTATTTAGCATTCATAATTATAGAATTGAATTATCAACAGCTTCAACTGCGCTGGAAGATTAAATAAAACAATAGAATAATAGCAGTGAAATAACAGTGAATAACATCAGTCCCCAACTGCTCTATGAATAAAGAGCACTGTTTGCCAAAGACAGTTAGGAAACATATTGAATTACAATCAGGTACATTCCCAAAGGCCAGTATGGCCACCAAGAAGTAGCATCTCTGGCTTTGTACCCCTCCCCTTTTCACTCCCCGCAAAGGGAGGAACCATAGGAAACTTTTATTGGAACAATTATGTAGGGCAAGACAGATTCTAGGTGGCAAATATGATTCTGAAAGTAACCTGGTATCAAACCATAGAGAGCCTTGTAGGTTAAAACGAACCTCTAAATTACACCCAGAAGTTGATTAGTAACTAGTGCAGGGCCATAGGAAAGTATAATGTGCTCCCAATATTAATAAGCACAAAAGCCGCTGCATTTTGGACATCTGCTGATTTTAAGTGCTTTTTAAAGGCAGAATGAAGGATGGCATGTTACAGTAATTCAAAGAAGTGATGAGGACATCATTAACTGTAGAAGATAGTCCTACCCCAGGTAAAGCCGACAACCGAAAGGGAGCCTTGAGTCCAGGAGGACCCTAAAGTTGCAGATCTTGCTTTTCCATCAGGAGATAATATTGGAGCAGACAGAAAGCTCTGATAATGTCAGACCTATACGGTAGAACAGATCAAGAAATAGACACTGCATAGGCTTAAAACTACTTATATTAAAATGGCTACCGTATCAACCTAGAAAGAAGTAAACAGTGATCCGATTCCAAATTTATAAGTGATGTTTTACCAGCAGATGGTTTTAATTTTGTTAGGTAAAGCTAGATAATTTATACTATCTGCTGCATTTTCTTCGAGATTCAAAACATTAAGATTTTATTTTAAGTTACAGCTGTTTGAGAAGTGAGAACAGGAATTTTGGAAGATTGCACGATAACCTTTTCCTTCTTGAAGTTGATAGTGTTTTAATAACTGATTATTTCTTTCTTTGCCATAGTATGTCATTTTTTGAATTGTTGGCTGTGATGGAACACTTAGATGTTTTGTTGAAGTGGTATAAAGAACTGGTTCCATCAGTAAGTATTATTTGTTAATTTATTCTTTGTGACTTTAAAAGTTTCAACAACAGTAACTCAAAACTGTGATTATCCAAAATTTTGCATTTCTTCTTCAGGAATTTTACCCAAATATTAGAACAATAATGCTGCTGCTTCAGGCATTGGACTCTGGCAATTGCTTGGAATTGATTCCCCAGATATGGAAAGGTTAATTATACTTTATTTTTCTGTTTCCAAGGTGATAAGCAATTCATCTTCCCAAGTTAGTCAGAAGAACAGTATTAGGCAGATTTGCCTCTTTGAGCATCAGTAAAAATTAAAAATTCCTTTAGATCAGAGCCACATTGAATCAGGAAAGCATTTACCATGGTGCCTCATACTATGAGACTGGAAATTTATTGCTCAAATTACAAACTTGCTAGTGCAGTTTGTATAATTTCTAATCATTGTTGGTTAGCAATCCCCAGTGACAGATCCCATTGTAGGAAAAAAAGATCTAGTTAGATTGGATGTTTAATAGTGCTCATCAAAACAAAGTATCTGTCACTCTCCCATTAGCTTAACTTTCATATAGTCTCTACATTTTCCTGTCTTTGTGTTTAGCCATACAATAATCATTAATTAGGCTCAGTTGAATTTAAGGATGGAACTTCCATATTTTAGTAAAGTAAATTTAGTAAAGTTTTAGTAAAGTTGCTAATTTCATTGATCAAGAACTGCTTGCAGTTATTTTATTTCTGATAACTTTTCTTTCTTGTTCAGATATTAAGCAATTTGGATTTAGTCTCAGAGACATTATTGTACAAGAAGTTCTGGCTCTTATGGCAAGAGATGTACAGACTCCAGAGGTGAGTCTGGATGGAACATGGGATGTGGAAAATGTTCACACTTATAAAAATTGTAGAGATCAATGGAATGAATTAGCTAATGCCGAAATGAATCCAGGAGGCCTGGTCTTACTATTTCTTATTATAATAAAACATAGAAAAATGTTGCAGGATTAATTTCAGTTGCTGGAATAGCAATAATATCCATGTTTGCAGTAAAACAATACACACTGGGAAGTTCCTCTATTTTTTCAGCAGAGCAAGCTGCTGAAAGAAATCTTATTCTTTTCTTTTGCTTCTTCACTTGGCATATCTCATCTTCGTGCACCTCAGATTCCTAACACATAGCTACCTATTAATAGAAAAGGTAATCTCCCAAGATGGTTTATAATTCATCGTGTAATAAGTTAATCATTTCAAAGTTAGAGTAACAGAAAAGCCCAGTGCATGCCAAAAAGATATGGAAAATATATTTATTTACAATACAACAACAGCCCCCAATATTTTGGGAGCCGGGGACCAGTTCCATGGAAGTTTTTCTGAGAACTGAAGGGGCCGTGGTTTCACCTGTTGCCCTCATCCCACGGATGTGTGGATGTGGTTTCACTCCTTTGCGTGGCCTGGTGTCTGGTGTGCTGTGGAATGCTGCTGGTCTATGGCCCAGGGGCTGGAAACCCTGTAATATGTAACTACCATACAATATTATAAAAAGAAACCATATAGCATATTTAAATAATATTAAAATTCTCATTCAAGTACCCTTTAAATCCTGTGCATAGGGCAACAGTTTTTGAACCAACATATCTTAAAAGGGCTAGTTTACAGAATGTCCAAAATCCAAGACCAATAATTTCCAAGGGAATGAAATTTGAGAAAGTTGTGGCTGCTTCAGTGCTGCTGTTATATTCTAATCATTTTCAAAGTTCCATGGCAGTTTGATAGTGAGTCTTGCAATCCCCTTGCTTCCTCTCCTACCCAACAGCAACCATTTCCTTGCCTGCTGTAAAGGAAGGGAGATTTCCAATGCTGTCTGTCAGTTCCCATAAGAAACTCAATGGGGGAAACTGGCAACTCCTCTCCTGCTCCCATTCATTTTTGCCTATCCTTGGCATAAGAGAACAACTTAAATGTTTCTGGAGTTTTAAGATCAAGAAAGCTATCCTTTAGTAGAAAATGTGCAAGGTAGTCTTTGCTTAATGACCCTAAAAAGGACTGGAATTTCTGTTGTGGAACGATCATTTGACCACACCATTTAGCAAAAGCATTCTCCCCCATCTCTTTGGCCATCCTGCATTGCCTCACTGTCCTGTATTCTGTTGCCCCTGACCCCACCACCCCAATTGGCTGCCATCATCTTCCTTTTTCTACTGACAAGATGTGCCTCACCCGGCCCTTCATCAAACAGCTTTTGGGAAAGGTTTTGCATAGCCAGCAGTTGCCTCACAAAGGGCCAGGCCAGGTGCACCTCATCACTAAGAGCCACAAGAAGGCAAAGATAAGCTGGGGGCTATGCAGGGTATTGGGCAGTAGAGTAGTGGAAGGCAAAGTTTCAAAAAGGCAGAGATGGGGGATAAGATAGGCAGTAGGAAGAGTTAAATTGTACTCTGGTTATAGATGCAGGTGGGCTGCCAAGCACATAAATTTTCAGCAATAACCATGGGGGCACTATAACAGCCATAAATTCATTTGTAATCAGTCATAAACAGGACTGCTTATAACTACCATTCATTTAATGCAATAGTAACAATTGCTGAAGGCAGGGTCATTAAGCAAGGACTACCCATACATCAGTTGTGCAGTTGCATTGGCCTGAAAGTTTAGTTGTCATAGGGACAAATTTACCTGCTTGCATCCTGCAAAATCTTAAGATGGTCTTGGTGATCTTTGTGCTTTTGAGAATATGGCTGGGTTGAATAGTAATTTTCCTATCATTTTGAAAAAGAACCCTGAGATTTTTATATTAGTTAACTTGTTTGATTCTATCATTATTAACTGACCATTTACATATCTTCTGATACTTTAGAAAAGTAAGATTTTGGTTTTATCGTAGTGAACAGTTTAATACTCATTTTTATAATAGCTTGCCAATATATACTTGGGTGAGTATTATTGCATCAACTGCCCATCAATATCCGCCTAGTTAAGATTCTTCTATCTGCTATATTAGGGTCATGAATTTGCCCCTAAATACCCGATTTAAGTATTTTAACTAAATAATGCATGTAAATACTTAGTAGTGGTGGGACAGCTCTGTTTCATTCTTTTGGATATTTTAACGTAAACAAAAATCCCCCCCCCCCCCGCTGTTCTGACCCAACCTGGTTCCAAAGGAGCCAACACCAGACAAAGGCAGCAACCCCCACCTTTTAAGGCTTCATCTACAGATTCTGTTTCTTCACAGATAAAAGGCTGCTTCCAACTAATTAGCTCCGACAAGAAAGAGTCTTGCCAAATTGTTTTTCAAGGCTGCCAAAAACCCACAGATAAGAAATAGTTTACAAGAGTTTTCAAATACTAACTATAATCTCCACGAGGCTGAATTTCAGAACGTCTTTGCCTTCTGCAAAAAAAGGCTTCTTCAAACCTGGCTTTTATCCTTTTGAGAGAGGGGCCATTACCTTGCAGCCTTACTCCTAAGTCACCAGGGCTGCTGTAATTGCTCTCTCCTATGAGCAATCCTGTGCGCATGCGCACTTGTCATAGGCTCCTCAGGAACCTCTTCATCACTGCTGCCAGCCCCCACAGTCTCTGAAGGCAGCAGTCCACTCCCTAATGGTCCTGGCCCTTATCTGAGTCCTTGCTCTCCTCCACCATCCGCACCTGCTGCCAGCTAACCACAACAGTAGCAGATGTTTGTCTATGGATGAATTAATTATGATTTTGGTTCATAATGTACTTTTAGAAGTATATGACAAAGAGACAAAGTTTAAGTATCAATAAGATGTTAATGATAACATACTATAATTCTGGAGGCATCCACATATACCTCCTCTTAGTATGATCCACGTTGAAGGCAGTGAATGAATCATTGCAGTGTTTAAGCAAGATATGGGAGAGGAATTTGCAATTTTACTTCTTCATTAATTCTGCTTGTGAAGAATGTGAATGGTGATCACAGGATTGCAGGATCTTGCAATAAATGCAAGGATTGGTTGCAAAGTTGGGTTTTTTTACACTATTGTAAACTGAACAGTCATTAAATGAGGTAGCAAGTGAGGATTACCTGAATAGAAAATTGCATTGGTTGAAAATTAACAAGTTTTTGATCTTGGTTGTTTACTCACATTTGATTTACTTATATTAACAACAGTTAAATACACAAATGCCCTTAGAGACAATAAAGATATATAAGGATATTTAATCTTAAAGGTTTTACCTGGGGATATACTTAAAATTGTCCCCCCTTTTTTGGTCTTGCTCTTGTTTTTTAATTTGGGGTTTTGTGTGTGTGCGTGTATGTATGTATGTAGGGGATACAACTTATTTTCTATAGACATTTTGGAGAGGCCATGGGTATGCCATAGTTGTTTGTATCTCCTTCTGTAAAGTAGGTGTTGTCTACGTGTACCTAGACTTGCTAAAACACTACTTTAGCTTCATATCATTGCTAGATTGCTACTGTTGCATGCAGATGCAAAGTATCTTAATGTTTTACAGACCCAAGTTGCATTTGCTGACTGTGCTGAAAACATAAAATCTCTGCATGACTTAAAGAGCAAGAACATGCAACTCCTGTGGAAAGACACTTCTCTTAATAACACCACAATACTTTTTGCCAGGGCTGGCAGAACACAAGAAGCTTGGTAAGAAAAGAAAAAAAGAGTCCCTACCAATAATTTGTATTTCATTCTGGAGATAAATCTTGAAATATAACAACTTATCCCAGGTTCTGAGCCATAGAAGTCAAGTCTCTATCTAACTCAATTACGTCCTATCTTTGGCTTTGATTCATTTATTCTGTGTAAATGTAGAGTACAACTTTATCTATGGAGCCTTAATTGAAAACTTAAGCCCCAAAGTACATTGGGGGAGGCAGAGAGAGGAAAGAGAGAGAATATAATGAAATCTAGCTATTATGTTTTCTTTTTCCTTCAAGCAGTTCCTGGAGGAGGAATACAGTTAAAGGCATGGAGCCTGTTCTTATAGTTTAAGGTTGCACCAGAAAGTCCAGTAATACTTTACTGGCTGTCTCACTTCATATGCTTCACTTTTAGACTAGAGCAGAGGTCTCATTCTCGCGGCCCACGGGCCAATTGCGGCCCGCAGGATGATATCCTGTGGCCCCCACCGTGATAAGTATAATATTAGTGTATAATATAAATATAAAGTATAATATAAAGTATAATATTATGCGCCCTAGCCTCACCCAGACTCTGCCACCAGCGGCCTCCAGGTAAATTGTGTTTGAGACCCCTGGACTAGAGGCAGGTATATGTAATATCTGGGCAGAAAAAAAAGCCTTTCTAACTGGCAGGTTTTTTTACCAGGATAATAGAGATATCATGGGCTGTATGAGGTAAAGGCTTTTTTTTTCTACTGCTGGAAAATATCAACTTTGTTCAAGGGAAAGGTATGAGTGAAGCTGCTACCCACTTACGAGCTGGTTTCATCTTTATGGCTATAGATGTTTCCAAAGGCACCATCAATCTTTATCTCTACCCCAATGAGAAACTAGTTTTTCTAGTGCTTTTTGTTCCACTATAACTGTTGTTAAAATTACTTAATTTCCATATTCTGTGAACATTTTTTTCTTTTCCTAAATAAAATTCTATTCGATTCAATAGAGGTGGTTTTTTTTTTCATTTTAGGTTATTAGCAGTTAGAAAAAATTATTTTCAAGTGGGATTTTGGATTTCCTTGGAGAATTAGTTGTAGTCCTTTTTTGTTGACTACATAACCTATATTGTCTTGTTGTAAGACAAGATTTGGGATTATATATAAGGGTAGTTCTTGATTTGTAAAACCCTTCATACCTGTAAGTCAAGCCTCTTGATGGGCTTCTGATCATATTTTTTCATCTCTGCATTTAAATGGTAATTTTTATTTCTTTCGTCTCCAAATAGGAACATGCTACAGCTGTTTAAAAAATACTCTCAAGTTCCCAGGTAAGCTTGCCTTTTAAAGTTTGCCCCTTGGAAGTCCTGATAATATATGTCAGTCTTTACTTTCCCTTTGATTTGATCTGTTCACTAGCATTCAGACTAATTTGACCCTTAGTTTTCTCCAGTGTTAAAATGCCACTTTCTGCCATGCATTGGCCTGTGCTGGCCCAGTTCCATCACCAAATGTCAGCTTGTCATTTCCTCAGAAGGACTGGTGGTTTTGTTAGCAGAGCAAGCAGAGTGATCAAGGGAACTGCTACAGTTGTAGGTGCAATAAAGCCTGAATCCTCTTCAGAAATTTACATCCACTGTTAGAACACTGACACTTTAACCTTTAAACCTTTTAAGTCGCTTTTAAAGACTTCTGTATTCTGGTTATGCAGAGTAGCAGCATTGAATGTATATTTGTTTAGCTATTTCTTGGTAGCAGAAAAAGACCTATTTATTGGTCTACTTTTCAGAAAAAAGCATTGTGATGTTATCATCTGTGAATGGAAAACTGAGTTGCATTGCATTGATAATTTGACTGGAATCTACAACAATCCTTTTCTTTCAAAACTTGTTACACTGTTATTAATTTCTGAGCTGAGCTGTCACCTTCTTAGATCAGCAGTTTGAATCCTTGAATTTGTGCCAATGTAGCATAAATAAAGCAATGACCTTTATACTGCATATCACCAGAAATCCAAGAATCAAAAGGTGGTAGCACAAGTCTATTTTAGCAGTTTTTCAGAACAGAAAAATAGAATTATTCAGATTAAACTTTCCTGATAGCAGACGTGACCTTTTGTCAAATTAAGATTCTCTACTTAAGACTTTTTAGGAAAACTGCCTTGGCTGGATAGATGCTTCTCTGCCTGCTCGTGAAACGCATGTAATTACTTGGGTTAAGAAGAGGTGCCTTTAGTGTTTTTTGCAATAAATATTGGGTTATTGGGTTCAGAAATTTCTCAGCTCAACAGTAGTTTATTTACTTATTCTTCCAGTCTCTCCTAAAGGTGACTCTTAAGGGGCTTACCATCTCTAGTTGGCTACCATCATACCTTGTCAGATAAAATGTTTTCCTATCAAACGGTTACAGATGCCACTGCAGTATCCATATCCCTTTTTCCTTTTTGCAGTGATTTGACGGTGAAAGAGATATTCGGTTGTATTAAACAAAGTAGACAAGCGGAAAAAGCCCTGGAACTAGTAAAGCTGACTGCTGAATATGGGATACAATCAACGCCCGTGCTTGCCAAGACAACTCTAGAAGAATTTGAATTCTCTGCAGAGCAAAGGTAAGTTTCAGCAAGTACGTAGCTCGGATGGTTATTGCTCAGAGCACCTAGGATATATATCATTGAAATTCATCGATATAGTAATCTTCTTGGCTATTTTCCTGTTTATGGTGACCTGAGTCCAGATAGGATGGGTTATATTAGCTTAAACCAGTAGGACTGAATCTGCTCAAATTCAAGCTCCGCCCCTTTGCTGTGGCCACTCCCCAGTTTTTGACTCAGTCTTAGCCAGGACTAGACGTGTTTTGCAAGGCTCCAACTTTAAGCGGAGCCTAATTGTTTAAAAAATAAAAAAAGTTTCAAAAAGTACTTTTGAGGCTTGGAAATTGCTGGATTCAAGTGAGTGGGCTGATTTTAGCTCCCAGAGCTTCCAAATCACACAAAGGGCTTCAAACTCAGCGCGTGTAGCCAGGACCACGTGGGACAGCTCCAGGCAATCGGCTGGATAAGTGCAATCAGCTGATGGGCACGGCAGCAACAGAAACCACTTGCAGTTTCTCTTTCGTTTTCTGGCTGGCTGAATTGATTGCCTTGGCTGCAAAACACACAGCGAAGCAGCCTGCAGCAGTGGCTTGAGGACCTGGAGCAAAAGCCACAGGAGAGCTTTGCTGCAAGTTTTGGAGGAAGCAAAGCAGCTGCTTGATTGGGCATGGCCCAATCCCAGCTGGCAGGGATTACCCCCAGCTGAGGGCACTGCTGGCCACATTGCCAGTGCTCCGTTGCATCTCCAGCACTGAGAAAATTGCATGGGCGCCTGCTGACCTGTTTGCAGGTCCAAAAAACCCGGTGTGACTGGCAGGGGTGACTTCAGCCCATCAGTAACCTTCACAGGCATGCTAAGCCAGTTTACCAGGTAAGGTGATTAATTTGTTTCTGGATCTGGCCTTTTATTGCGTTATTCCCTTGTGATTCAGTTTGTTAATACTCCTCCCTCCTTCCAGCAGGTCCCCTCCCTTCCCTGCCTCTTTCTTATGAATTACTTAATTCTCCAGGTGAGATGGCTGATAAAGAACAAGAAAGGGAGCCCAGCCCTTCTACTTCCAAAGGAAAATCCAGAGGCAGACAAGAGGAAGGCCCCTGAACACAAAGATGTTGCCAGAGCTGAACCAGAGGTCCAGAAAGAACCACAAGTTTCTGGAAAAAGGTTGGAGAGATGCCAACATGTGGCTGGGGGGAAGGGCAGAAGATCTGCACAACCCCCAGTTTTACAAGTGGAAGTAGGGCCTTCTACCCCTACTGGGCCTCCTCGCCCTGGTATTTGGTCCCCAGTTGGGGATCCAACTCTTTTGGGAGACCTTGAGAGAGATGATAGGGAGCCTAGAAGTGTGGAGGAGCTGCTTCGTCCTCCCCCTAAAAGGGTCAGAACCTTACAATTCTGAGGAAGAGGAAGAGGCTGTTCTACCTCATTTGGAAGCCATTATTGTTAAGGCGATCAGAAGGAGAGTGGTAGAGGCTCTTCGAGCTTCTAAAGGAAATATCTCTGAGGCCTTAGATCAATCAGAACCAGACAGATCTTTTCAGGCTAGAGAAACCTACTCTTCCAAAGACAGAGGCTCCCCAGTACCTTCGTGACCCAGCATTTCTGGCAGAGCCCTTGAAGAAGAGAAAAAAGAATCTGACTTCTCAGAATGAGGATATGGCCCCTGAAAGACCATCCTTTACTGGCAACTTTGATGCACAGGAGTTTAAAGCTTTATTATTCAAAGCCAAGAAAACTGCAAAGTTGGGACCTGGGGCTGATGTCGGTGAAGCAGAGGGTGATGGCACGGTGCCACCTGATCAACTTTTTGATGAACCAGCTGTAAGATCAGAAATGATGCCTGTCCCTAGATTATTCCTCAATGTTATACAAAAATGGATAAAACCTCTGGTACTTCCTCATCACTGTCTGCCAGCTAGAGGCATTTCTTCACCATGGGGCCCGAGCTGACCAGCTCCCTACAGGTATCGACAGTTGATGCACTTGTTGTGGCTATGATCTCTGCCTCATCCAATCCAGCAGATCCTGAAGAGGCACTAAAAGCTGAAGATAAGAGGATTGAGCAATCCCTCCAGCTCACCTGGCAGCTGCTTGGGCAGTTAAGGCAGCTTTGGCTGCTTCCTTTTTCATGAGATCTTCTCTACGGTGGCTTCGCCAATTGCAGGACAGAGTCCCTGCATCTGACATGAGAATTCATCAAGATAAGTTGGTCGCAGCCCCAGAATTCACTGCAGATACTACTTTGAATAGTGCCAGGTTTGCCTCCAAGGTCATCACCACATCCATCGCTGCCCGTAGAATGTTGTGGCTGAAGAGTTGGCAAGCAGACAGTTGGTACAAGTGGAAGGTGGCCTCTTCTCCCATAAAAGGGAAAGAGGTGTTTTGCAAGGTCCTGGAGCCGCACCTGGTTGAAACCAGGAACAAGAAGTATCTTCCTTCTCTAAATCAATGCTCCAGTTTCAGTGCTGCTCCTTATAATCGTAGATCCTCTTACAGAGCCGAGGGCAATTCAGGGGTTCAAGGGTCCCAGAGTCAACCCTACAACCGGCAAGAATGCTCTCAGGACAGAGGAGCCCATGATAGACTGCAGTACTCAGACAAGCGGCCCTTTCATGGGGGAGGAAGTCTCTTCTTCAGGCGCTCCCGATAAGGATAGCAGTAGTCTTCCCATTGAGGGCAGATTATCCCATTTTGCTGCCCTATGGGAAACTATCACATCCGATGCTTGGGTGTTACAAACTGTTTGACAGGGTCTATCCCCTGAATTTCGATCCCCCCGCCTCCCAGATCTTTTGTACCTTGTTCAGTCTCTGGAATACCCTCTCGTAGACAGTTGGTGGAACAGACAGTTTAACACCTTTTAGACATCAGGGCCATACAAAAAGTCCCATTAACCAACATGGCAAGGGATTCTATTCCTGTCTGTTTGTGATACCTAAATCTTCTGGGGGATGGCGAGCCATCTTAGATCTTAAAAGGCTCAATAAATTTGTATTGTACAAGCGTTTCAGGATGCATTCACTACAGACTATCTTGGCCAGCGTGAGGGAGGGTGACTTCCTCGCCTCTGTAGATCTCACTGAAGCTTATCTTTGTATCAGAATTTGCCATTCACATAGGCAATACTTACGCTTCACTTACCAAGGCAAACATTTCCAATACAGGGCCATGCCCTTTGGCCTGTCCTCTGCACCCAGGGTATTCACAAAAATCTTGGCAGCCCTGGCAGACCGCTTGAGGAGTATCCCCATTAGGGTTCAATGTTACTTAGATGACATTTTAGTCCAGTCTTCTTCTAAGGACCAAGCCCTAAGGGATCTACAGACTACCATTAAGATGTTACAAGACCACGGGTTTTCCATAAGTGAGAAGAAAAGCCATTTTTCTCCTACCACAAATTTATTGCATTTGGGGACTAACATAGATACACTTTCTTGCAAAGTTTTTCTCTCACAAGAGAGGATTGACAGTTTGCATTCTGTGATTGGGGAGATTGTGAAGGCTTGTTTTTACTCCCTGGCTTCTCTGTCCCAACTATTGGGGAAAATGATTTCCACCATCTCCATTGTGCCTTGGGCCAGGCTTCACTCCAGAAAGCTTCAATGGTTCCTTTTGCCACATCAAAAGGCAGGCAGGAGTCATTCGGCTTTTAGGGTCTCCATTCCTACATCAATCAAAAGGTCATTGTTGTGGTGGTCTTCTCCGGCCTTGCATGCTGGACAATCATTCAAAGAACCTTCCCGTATAGTCATCACCACGGATGCCAGTCTCTCCGGCTGGGGAGCCCATCTAGACTCGAACTTGGCACAGGGTCTGTGGTTCCCCTCGGAAAAAGGGAAGAGCATTAATTGGTGAGAATTAAGAGCAGTTAGGCTTGCTCTCAAACAATTTAGGTTAAACATTTTTCATTCTCATGACCTTATCTTGACAGACAACACCACCACCAAGGCACACATTAATAGACAGGGAGGTACCACATCCCAAGTTCTTACGTTAGAGGCTGAGTGTCTGGGACCTTGGGCAGAAAAGAATCTCCTTTCTGTTGGGGTGGAACACCTCTCCAGGGGGGATAATACACAAGCTGATTGGCTAAGTAGAGCAAAAATTGACCCCTCAGAGTGGAGTATTCCCCCTCTACTGTTTCAGGAGCTGGTTCAGATATTTGGACATCCAGCGGTGGACCTGTTCACCTCTCCAACCAATGCCCAACTTCCCGGATTCTTCACCAGGTTCACACACCAGGGAGCAGAAGGGACCAACCCCTTGAGATGCCGTTGGCCTTGGGGTCTTCTATATGCCTTCCCTCCTCTTCTGTTGTTGTCAGCGGTGATTCGGAAAATTTTGGAGGAGGCGGCGGTGGTATTGTTACTAGCTCCATATTGGCCCAGACGTCCTTGGTTCGCAGACCTGGTGAATCTCTCGTGCTCCACTCCTTGGAGGATCCCTCCTCTCAAAGTCTCGCTTCTCAAGGAAGAAGTCTCACACCCGGATCCTCTGTGGTTCCAGCTGACTGCATGGCAGTTGAGCGGAGTGCTCTAAAGAAGCAAAAGATTTCTGAGAAGGCCATCCAGGACATCCTAGCAGCCAGACGGCCTTACACTAACAGAACTTATCAGGCCACTTGGAAAATTTTCTGCCAGTGGTGTTTGAAATCCAAAATTTTCCCCATTTCAGCTTCTGTGGCCAATATTTCGGATTTTTTGCAGGAAGATCTCGACAAGGGACTCTCCGCTAATACCTTGTGTAGACAGGTTGCAGCCCTTTCCTCAGTTTTCTTTTTGCACCGAAAAGATTTCCTGTCTCTCAATTAGACCATTCATACATTTTTTAAAGGGGCATCAAATTTAAGACCACCGGTGGTTCAGATTTCCCACTTGGGATCTTCCCAGAGTTCTAAAAGCCTTAATGTCTCCACCCTTTGAATCACTTAAATCAACAACTTTATATTTCCTCACTCTCAAGGTGGCTTTTCTCATAGCCATCACCTCGGCTAGGAGGATTTCTGAGTTAGCCGCTCTTTCTGTCAAGAAGGGCTTGTGTGTCTTCCATGCAGACAGAGTGATGTTGTGGTTAGATCCCTCCTTTATTCCTAAAATCAATTCCAGATTTCATAGAGCACAGGAACGTGTCTTTCCCCATTTTTGCCCTACTCCTTCCTACTCTCTTGAGCAATCATGGCATACTCGGGATGTATGGAAGGCATTGAAGACTTATATCCAGAGGACCCTGCCATTCCGCTGGAGGCTCTGTTCGTCTCATTTCAACCTGGTTCCTTGGGGTTGAAGGTGTCGCCAAAGACGTTGGGCTTATGGATTAGGGTCTGCATTACTAAGGCTTACCACACTCCGGCTCTTCCAATTCCAAGAGGAGTGACAGTACATTCCACCAGGAGTGCAGCAATAACGGTGGCCTGGGCTACCCAAGTCCCATTGAGGAGATTTGCAGAGTGGCCCTCTGGTCTTCTCTGCCTCCTTTTATCCGCCATTATCACATTGATGCCTTCACTAGCAGAAGAGTCCTGCAAAGTGTACATGAACACTGATGTAAGTAGGACCAGACTATTGCCCTCCCTGGAATTAGCAGGCTTAGGTATGTCTCATCTTATCTGGACTCACGTAACTATAGACAGGAAAAGGAACATTGGCTTACCTGAATGTTCATTTTCTGTCTTGATGGAGTGAGTCCAGCTCCACCCTGGTTCGTCCAGTCTGGGATGGCCTAGGGGGGTGCATTAATGAGTGTCTGTTTATCTGCATTAGTTGAATCACGTCCAGTCTGCCTTGATGCTTTGTCAAAAGCTGGGGAGCGGCCACAACAAAGGGTCGGAGCTTGAATTTGAGCAGACTCAGTCCTACTGGCTTAAGCTGATATAACCCATCCTATCTGGACTCACTCCACCAAGACAGAAAATGAACATTCAGGTAAGCCAATGTTCCTTTTGTTTCATTCATTTTCCTAGCAGCTCTTTAACTAGCAGCAACCCTTGAGCTAGAGCTAGAGAGACTAGCCCAAGCTGTCAAATGAGTTTAATGTCTTAGTTCAGCTTCCCTGTCCTAGCTGAGATATTTTGATCAGAATATCATATTCTTTTTTACGCAGGCTCTGCCTTATCCCTTTTGAAGCACATTTTTTGCCAATAATAAATTGTTGTGCCAGCAGTTTGACAAATCTGTAATTGTGCTCATGTTTTTTTCCCCCTAGGCGGACTCTGGTTGATATAATAGAAGGAAGCGATGGTTATAAATAGGGGTCAGAAGAGAAACCCCTTCCTCTTTGCTGAAAGAAAAAGTAACTTACCTGATCTCAATATAGCTGTCAGAGAGTGGCTCTGAAAATCTCTGCGAACCTTGTACATAACTGTATTATATTGGTATTATTATCATGTGGATTCTCATCTGATGGCAGGTGGTAGGAAGTTTTGGTTTCATCTGTTTTGGAGTGTTTGTTCTCATTCTCTACCACCTCAGTTTTTAAAACACAGTGTCTGCCAGAATCCTAGAATTATTTACTTACTATATTGCATCTACATTTTCCTTAGAGATGCTAATAGAAATAAAAATTAATCCACTTGCCTCTTTTCAGCAGATGTTTTTTTATTTAAGCAAAATCTATTTGAACTGACTAAAGAGCTCTAAAGAGGAGCAACAACAAGAAGTGTTAGAAGAAGAACAAGGAGGAAGAGATAAAGAAGAAGGAGATAGACCAAGAAAAGAAGGACTGTGAACAAGACCCCAGAGAGAAGCAAGGACCAATAGAAGACCAAGACAGACCTACTATTAATAAGATGGAAGAAGAAATTAGATTAATTTCACTAAATATCAATGGATTGAATTCCCCGACCAAGTGAAGGCAAATGTTAACAAAATTAACAAAACAGAATGTTGATATTATATGCCTTCAAGAAGTGCATATCCAAAAATCAGAGTAAATATTTGGAATCCCCCAGATTAGGAAAATTATATGTAGCATTGGCAAATCAAAAGAAAAGAGGGGTGGCTATGTATATTAAAAAATGGATGAATGCAAAACAAACTTACCGTATTTATCGGCGTATAACACGCACTTTTTCCCCCTGAAAATAGGGGGCAAATGATGTATGCGTGTTATACGCCGATGTCCAGGGAGCGGAATCCTCTTTAAGGGATCCCATTCCCAATAGTGCCTAGCGGCGGCGCAGCATCGTGACGTGATGTCAGCGCTGCGCCCGCCGCATATTTTTTTCCTGAAATTTCCCTCTTAAAGGGAATGCGTGTTATACGCCTGTGCGTGTTATACGCCGATAAATACGGTACGTGGAAAAACAGCAGAATCTTAATGGTACAATTGAAGATATCGCAAAAGCAAGTATTGTTAGTGAGAATATATGCACCGAATTTGAATCAAAAAATGTTTTACCAAAAATTATATGATAAAATAGTGGAGACAGGACAGACTAAGATATGCTTGGTCGGGGACTTTAATGCCATAGTGGATACTTAAAAAGATTGGTAAAGAACAAAAAATAAAAAAGAACTGTCTACCAAAACCATTCTAAGACTTAGTACAAGAAACTAATCTAGATGATATATGGCAGAAAAGACTCCCAAATGAAAAAAGGTATGCATTCTATTCCAACCCCCACCAATTGTGGTCCTGAATTGATATGGTGTGCACAAATAAGACAATTGGAAATGAAATATCCAAAGTAAAATAATGCCCAATATATATGGGCAGACCACAATCCGTTAAAAATTACCTGGAAAGGATAAAGGAAACAGAAAATGAGATGGACGCTAAACACATAAGTCCTAAAAGAAAAAGATTTTATACAAAAAATGAAAAGGAAATATTTTTCAATGTAAATTTAAAGGACCATACTAATTTGCAGAATTTATGGGATACAGCAAAAGCTTTTATGAGAGGAGTATCAATAGCTTATACAATTAGAAAAAACAAGATGGAAAAGAAACAACAAAATGAACTAAGATAAAAATTAAAGAACTAGAAAGAGACTTCTAAAGGATCCAAAGAATGAGACAAAAAAGAATGAAGACTAGACATAAATTAAACTTAACATTCCTAGAAGAACGAGCATGAAACATAAAATCTATGAAACAAAACTTTTGAATCAGCTAACAAACCAGGTAGATGGCTAGCTCATAAACTAAAAGTAGAAAAAGGAAGAGCTCAAATGTTCTAAGGATGTCTCTTTGCTTTTATGTACATCAAAACTAAACAGCTGGCGCAAAATAGAAATATCACCATTGTTAGAATAGCACATATTTCAATGTCACAATGTAGTTCTGCAGATTTAATACTTTCAAAAGCAACATGGTGTAGAAAGTGTTTCCCCCCTTAATTAAGCACATTTGATTTGGCGGTGGCTTTACATGTTTATTTTGGTTTGTTTTGAAAAACAGGCTGATTTTGAAAATAGAAGATTTGTGAATACTCTTTTCCTATAGTAAGGAATCCTAGAATGGGCTACATTTCTCCCTTGCTCAGTAGGCAGAGCCAAGAATGTAACTATTTGAGGAGGGAGTACCCACCACTGAATTCACTAAGAAAAGTCAATAGAATTCCACCTGTGATTTTGATTCTTCTGGAATTTATAGCCATTGCCTACTTCTGGCTGAACAGCTTGCTAAAAATATACAAACAAAATATCTCTTACTTGGAATTCCTCATATCCCAAGTAGATGTAATCATTCTACAGTTGTCCAATTAATATTGTTCCTTTACAAATTCTCCCTTGGGTTTTGACAATAAAAGCAGGGGTGGCTCCAGATTTCTATAAAACATTCCTATAGAATTTAATTTTGGTACAAAAATACGATCAGCGTGGAGAATTATACAAATCTTCATCATGATAGCGGTTTTTTGGAAGAGAAAAAAATACCTTTTTTTCTGAAGGCAGTGGTCATTTACCAAAGAAGGGAATTGTGTTAAAACTTTCAAAACCAAATGCAGATTCCACAGTGGCAACTTGTGTACTATAGAGAAACACTTTACAAAAGTTGTAGAATTCCCAACATGCCTGGAATAGTGAAAAGAGTAAAACCTTATCTGTTAAGAATATTGGATCATAGGTTCAATCATAGATCCTTTCAAGACTAAACTAGGAAAATATTTATGTCCGAGACAAAAAAAATTCTTATGAAGAAACTCAGTGCTGCTATACCAACAGCATAAGAGCAAGATTACTGATAAACATACTTTGTGGACTCACAGAAAAATAAAATAGTGGCATTCTAAGCAAGGTCACATAATTGCAAAACAGCCAGGTATTGTAATTATACAGTCCTTGGTTCTCTCGGAGTTTGGTTGTTTGACCATGTTTTACTGCCCAACTAAGTATCATTATAAATGTGAGTGAGTGGGGCACTCCCTCATTGGGTGCCTATCTTTTGTTGGGAGTACAGAAGAGAACATCACTTGGGTATCCATTTCTTTGGTTTACATGCCTGACTCTTCATTGTCTCTTGATTTTTTGAAATATTTTGAATGTCTTCTGAGAGCTGGATTGGATCTCTCTCATTTGATATCAAATGTATTTTTGTAGTTATGGAATCAATAAAGCTATATTGGTGATAAATGGGATGAAAATATAACAGTGGTGCTTCGTCTTTAGTTCCAAGAAACCAATGTTCTACTTTCTTGGTTGGTCATCTGTATGCTATCCTGCCTTTTAAGTACATTTCCTGCTCCAAAAAGCTGGCCTCTTTAGAGAAGGTGGGAACCACCAAGGTAGTAAGCCCTGGTGGCACAGTGGTTAGAATGCAGTATTTCAGGCTAACTTTCCCTACAGCCTGGAGTTCAATCCTGGCAAGGCTCAAGGTTGACTCAGCCTGCTGAGATTAGTAAAATGAGGGCTCAGACTGTTGGGGACAATAGGCTGAAGTTTGTAAACTGCTCGGTCCTGTAAAGCATTATGGGGTGGTATAGAAGTCTTAAGTGCTACTGCTTTTATCAACCTTAGGTAAACCAATCAATGCTGCAATGTTTTGTCCCAGTGTGTAGAGCTGAAATGGGTTGGATAGGGAGTAAAAGGTTCAGGCTCAATTTTACCAAGACCAAGTTATGGGTACTTTGGTTTTACCCAGTCCTAGATAATTTCTATAGTTAGTCCTGGAAGGACCATTTTCCATTCAGACAAGTGTACAGATGGAATTTTCTTAACAGCTTCTCGTTGAAGATCACATAGCAACTATAGCTTGGAAGGTCTTTGCAGAGGTTCTTCTGTACCAGTTACAACTGGTAGTAGTAGGAGACCCTCTAGTCACATATTCTGGTCACCTAATGTAAGCATTTGTAAAGGGTTGTGAGAATAATCTTGGAAGACAAAATGAAGAGCCACATCATAGATAATGGTCTGATAAATAAACTCTGAATCCAAATGAGGAATGGGGTTGAAGGAAGTAAAAGGGGCCCTCTCTAGTTAAATAAAGGCTGGAAAGCAGAGAATTGCTTTTAGATTGGGAAGATTCTGTTATTGTTACAATAAAGGCAATATTGATACTCGTGGCTTTTATTTCTGGACTTCTTAAAAGGGCTGACATGATTACGGTAATGTGCTCTGCAGGAGCTGCCCTTAAGCAACTTGGAAGCTTTCTGTGGAGATTCTGAGTCATCCAGGTCATAGTTATTTCAAAAGTGCATTTTCTCCCCTCCCACCATTCTATCAACCTATCCTTTCATTCCCCCCCCCCATCCAGTCTCAACTGCCAATACCTATTCTTCCATTCCCCACCTTCAGAAGTGATGAAGCTTCTTGGATAAGAAGCAAAATGTTTTCAAGGTGGAAAAAGTCCAGTTGCCCTTTGAGACACTTCGAGAAGCATCATTTAGTCCAGTATACAGCAATACGAGCATTAATAGAGGTACCACAGCATGCCACATTCATCACCTAATAAGTTGCGCTAATTGCCATTTAGCTTCTGGGTGTAATGGAAGAAGCTGTTTATGACATAAATCCTTTCCTGGCATAGGCCTGGCTGCTTGAGTGATTGTTTATTTTCAATAATTTTCCCATCCAGAGTTGACTCACTGCATATGCCATTGGTCAAACATTGTCATATGATCAAACCTAGGAAGTGGGACATCTGTCAGACCGCTTTCCCTCTGGAATATTTTTCCAGATACACACGACTGTTTACCGTCATTTAAAAAGTTTTTTAAATGGCTCTTCCAGGCCTTGATTAGGGTGGTGAGCATGTCCTAAAATTGAATTGGCCTTCTTTCAATATTTTGGTCTGTTTTCTGTTTTATAATTCTGTATTGTTTTTATTGCCATAAGCCATCCAGATTCAACATCAGGTAGCAGCATAAACCTCGTGCAACTGGGCACTATTGGTTACTGAAGATTTATAAGTTGTTGCTTGTGTGTGCCTTTGAGTGAATCTTGACTCCTGGTGAGTGCCTCTGCAGTTTTCTTGGCAAAAATTTTTTTCAAAGTGCTTTGGTCATTGCTTTCTTCCTAAGGCTAAGAGTGTGACTGGCTCAAGGTCATCCATCTGGCTTTGTGACTAAGGCAGCTCTAGAACTCGGGTCTCCCAGTTTCTAGCATACCTTAACCACTAATTTAGTCAAGAGAAATATTGGTGATTTGGGGAAGAGTTGGGTGATGTTATATTAATATAAATTATTAGTCTGATAATTATTCTTGAAATGTTCCACAGCAAATCCAAAGAAGATTGCCAGAAGTGCGGATGAAAGTATGGCTGAACACTGCAAAATAGAGACATTGCAAGAAGTTTCCTGCCCTTTGCAAATATTTCAGAAGCTAAAGATAGATGGAAGAGAGGAGGTCTGGCAGTATAGGGTAGAAATCAGACTCCCTGTTCTTTCAAGCATTTCTTTACATATTCTGAAATTTGCACAGCCCTTTTTCTTACTGTCAGATACTGGAAGCCACACCACACATGTAAACAGAAATAGTAACATTTCTTCAGAGCCATGGGATTCTCATGGATGCTGTCTCAACTTACTTCAAGATAATGTAGTCTACCTTATAGAGTAGACCCACTCAGCTGATGGCAGCATTTGCTCTCAATAGAAGGATATTATATTTTTTTTCAACATAGGAATAAATGGAAAAACTCAACTGCTTTTCATACTGGAGGAAAAAAAATAATGGTAGTGTCTTGAATGCATGGGTAAATAGCTTTCAGGGCTTATGCAGAATTTTCTTAGGAGAAATTTTTGTATCAAAGTTTCCATAAAGAAAAATATATAAATGTACCATTGCTAAAAACACACTATGAACACTGAAAATCTGTCAATACAAAATAGGAAATATTTATATTTCCACTTTGGAAACGGATAAAAGGGAAACTGACAGGTCGTTTATGCACTTTTCATCTGCTGCTGACATAATTTGATTCTGTTTTTTTAAAATCTACCTTATCCAAGCAGTAGTGAAAAATAAATTGTTTAAATATCATTTATTTAATTGAGCCAAATGGCAAATCAGTAAGAGGTTATAAACATTATTTTGGTGGGTTCACAAGCTCAATCAGTAATACCTGGAAACTGTGTTATATAGATTAAAACAAAAACAAAACACATTCCAGACATGATAAATGGCTGAAGGAAAAAAATGCAAATGCAACAGGTGCTAAGATTTATAAGAGTACTAGGAGATGGAACTTTCCCCCCCAATGACACTTGAGTTGCTTGCATGGTTTGGAACCATGTTAGGTCTCCCACCAATTCCCAGTACTATTGCAAATCTTGAATGTTGGTTGACTAATGTTAAAAGATATAGGAGTCCTGCGTATCTGGCTTATATTAGTCCACCTGAGTTGTTCCCAAGCCCACAGCACTAGCATAAGTAGTCAGGATATCCACCACTTGTTTTGCCTCCAAGGTCATCCGAGCTTCATTCAGCCAGTCCTGGGCCACCCTTCTGGGTTCTCCTTTAAGCTGATTGATGAATTTAGCTGCCAATTCTAAATCTCCGTGTTCAATGCAGTAGGATGCATAAGAGAACAACTTAAATGTGTCCAGATCTTCGGGACCAAGCTCAGTTGGTGGCTTCAGCTGCTGAGGATAAAACAAGAGAAGGGACTGCAGATAAGACAGAAAATATTGATACAAGCTGTTTCTTGTTTCATCTATCAGTGCCACTCTTTTAGCCAGCTTCTGGACTGTGTGAAAGCGTGCCCTTAGTGCCTCTTCCGTGTATACCCCACGACTGAGTGATTTTTGAGGAAGGGCAGCTGTTAAGGCTCGGGTGAATTCATCATCAGGACAGCTGAGTTGGATGGACTGTACTGCTTCCTCCAAAGGTTCTGTGGGACTATCCCCAGCAGCAGTTTCCATACTTTGCTTTAAAGCTTCAACTGAAAGCCACAACTGATGGGCTTTCCTGGCTTCTTCTGCAGCAACCACATGGCCTGTAATATAAAATCCCATACATTTAATGGAGGGAAAATAAACTCTAGAATGCATCAACATTTTCATTTATAGCTTGAGCACATTTTAAATCAAAGATGCAACCCAAATTATAATGCTGTTCATAGCACCTTACAGTAAAGCTAAGCCACTGACATGAAGAATGACAGAAGTAATTTATATTCTTTCGTTATTGTAAAATAGTTTTTGAGAGGCCGGGCTACCTGACAATTGCCTAATGACTGGGCTGATGCTATTCTGCCCCTTTAAGATCCCTCCCCAACCAGCCCAGCTGTCCAGCAAGGAGGAACAGCGGGAAAGCAGGTGGCGACAGTGATGGAAGAGAGAGTTGTTCTGGGAGTGAGAAAGGAGGTGGTCTAGTAGTCTACTACCAGAAGTAGGAGTAGACCTCAGGAAGTGTATAAAAAGCAACTGTGAGTACTACTTGTTGTGTGTTTCGTGTGAGTTGCCTAAAGGCCAAGAGGGGTTGTGTTGGCTCTCTTATTCTGGTAGGCCACTGACTATGGATGTAGATAAAAGAATTGGTGACAGTTTAGTGCTTTTTTGTAAAAAGCTACTGTAATAATGTATTCGAATTATTTGATTTACATTTCATGGGTGAAATAAACTATAAAATAATAAAAGCACCATGGACACGAAGGAAGTTTTACAACAACTGATGAGCCAATGGAAGTTGTACACCCTTGACTGAATATGTTATGCAAATACAACCAACTTGAATTTACTGCAAAAATATTCAAAAGCTACATTTTAGAATAATGATCAAATCCAGTTGAAATACTTGGTGCTTTTCAATTGCAATATGGCTCTTCCACTAAACTAGCTTACGAAGTATTAGATCACACTATGGACAAGTCATTTTTCATTCTGATTTTGCAACTAAGTTTAAAATGCTTTTTAAATTTAAAATAAAAAAATGTACAAGTTTTTAATTTTTAAAGTAAAAATAAAAATCCAGGTGCTTGAAAATTGGCATGTATTTGTTTCATTTTTATTTTATTTATATTCTGTGTTCATTTTTTTTTTTTATAAACAACTGGCAATATTGCTTCCTCTTATTTTTCTCACAACAGCCCTTTGAAGGGAATTAGGCTGAGAGTGACTGGTAGATCACCTAGCTGACTTTCATGGCTGAAGCGGGCGGAACTAGAACTTCCAAGTGCCCTGCTTTATAACCAGATGTCTTAACATTAGGTGAGGTGCTAAGTAACATCTGGCCTGACAGCAACAAGTATGTTGGTGGGAGTGTCCTGCTGTCATGCGATTGCCATTTATGACTTTTAGCCAACTTCTGACAAGCTGTATTTGCTTAACAGGTGTGGTTCACTTAATGTCAATGCAGAAGGAAAATAATGAACACCATGCTTAGCAACAGAAATTACCAAATTGTGAATCACAGATTACCTGTACTGATTTAGCATACTGTACAATTTAATTCTTTCACTGAGTGAAAGTTTCTCATTTGAAATGAAAGAGCAATACAGAAATCTAGTCCGTTTATAAATATTAGATTATTTTACCTATTCTAACTCAGAATAAACTTTCTGGTACAGAACTGGATTGCTAGAATGGAATTACCATCTGCAAAACAAGCAGATAAATAAATAAGCCACCCAGATTTTACTAAAGATAAGCATATTCCTGTTACAATATTACATGCCGCACTCACTTTCAACTGCCTGTTCGATTCCCCTCAGTCTGGCATAGGCTGTATTGATATCCAGAGTGAAGTTGTCAATCTGTTCCTGATGAAGACGTTTATGTTGAAGTTCTTGTTCAGTAAGTTTTTCAGATAAATTCTAAAAGAAAAAAAAAACATGGTGGAAAAGTGTCCACATTATGGGGGGCGAAGTTGTTAAAAACAATTATGAAAGATCATATTCTACCAAAAGATTTAAAAAAGGTTTACTCCATGGATTACCTGCCACTTTTCATTTGTTCCACATTTACCATCCAGGAATATATCTGTACTCTGGATATTTAGAATTTCATCATGAACTTGATAAAGGAAATTCAAAGAAGTCCACAGATGAATGAATATACATCTGAGTAGAGGCATACGTGAATCAGCAAATGTACACAACTGGCAAGGGAAATATTTACCTTTTATGTCTATCTCCACTTCCTTTGCATGGCTGTAGACCATACTATTGTCTGATTTTCCCAATGCTTTCCTTTTAGTATCCTTTTAGATCAGGAGTGGGGTCCAACTGGTGTAACTACTGGTTCGGTGATTTTACGTGTATATTGCACGCATGTATATCATCGTCAGCTAGCTCCCTGGACAGCTGAGCAGCGCTGCGCACAAGTGCACAGTGGTTGAACAAGCTCTTTTTTCCTGCTTTTTCAACTGCAGCTGTGTCACACAAAGCAGCTGGGGTTGAAAAAGGAAATAAAGGTCAGGTAAGGTTCCGGGCAGGTAGGTGGGCCAAAACAGCAGCAGACATAGAACCGGTTCTATGTATGTTCTCTGCCTGCTGCTCTTCAGAATTCCTGGTTCTACAGAGGTGGACAGAACCGGTATTTTGCAATTTTGCAATTCCTCAATTTTAAAGAATACTTGCATACAAGTGACTTCAAATGAGATTGTTGATGTTTACTTCAATTATGCAAAGCATTTAAACTTTACAATGGATTAGAAAATATCTGAGAATCCTGGAAGAAGTGCCTTCACGTTTTTCTTCTGTAAAAAAATTGGAGAAAACATGTAGCTGTATCTTTCTAAGACTCAGCATGCTTATTTCAGGGGTTTTCAAGATGTTCTTACTAACTGGTATTTCAGGATTTCTTCCTGAACTGCTACTAAATCAAAGCAGAGAAAGACCTAAAAGAAGCCATCCTTTCTTACAAAGTATTCCTTCAAATGTTTTCTGCAGCCTTAGTATTCTCTTACTGCACAATAAGAAAAATTTCTGACAGAAGCACCTTAAAGGACCTTTCACTATAATAAAGCAAACTCCCCACCTGGTCAAATTGTTGTTTCAGTTCTTGTTCCTGAATTCTGAGAACATCTCTTAAGTGATCAGCATGTGCAGCAGCTTGTCGACGTAACTGAGTTCGCATTTCACTTTCCATAACTTCTTGAGCTTCTTCAACCTATTAGAAAAATCACTGGTATTTGCCTCTTCAAAAATTACCTGTGAATCTGTAAACTACATCTTTGGTTTAATCATATTTTTCTTACGTAAATTAAAAGGGCACAAAGCAATTCTCTGTTTTCCAGAATTCATTAAGTAAAATTTGCAAAACAACAAAACAAAAAACACCAGGAACGAGAAGCAAAAAGCCTTTAAATAGTATTTCAGCCACAAGGTCTGAAATCATAATGTAAAACTTAGGGTTGAGAATGGAATACATAGTCCAAAGATACACATTTTTCACTGGGGCAGGTGCCACAATAGACATTGAACAAGAGACTGGGGTGCACTACAAATACTCATTGTTAAGCCTATCATTGGGAGACAAATCTACTTCCATTCACTCATCTGAAAACACATCAGTCTTCTATTTGGATGAAGCCAAAGTGTAAAAGTACTACTTAGATTTCTTGTTTTGAGGTATTTTTCGGAGTAGCTCCGGACACCTCTTATTCCTTAAACAGACTGGTACATAGAACATCAGAGTTGGAAGGGACCTTGGAGGTCTTCTGGTCCACCCCCTGCTCAAGCAGGAAACCCAATACCATTTCAGACAAATGGCTGTCCAGTCTCTTAAAAAGCATCAAGTAATGGAGCATTCACAACTTCGGAAGGCAAGCTGTTCCACTAATTGACTGTTCTAACTGTCAGGAAATTTCTCCTTAGTTCTAGGTTGCTTCTCTCCTTCATTAGTTTCTATCTATTGCTTTTTGTCCTGCCTTCAGGTGCTTTGAAAAATAAGTTGACCGCCCTCTTATTTATGGCATGAAATATTGTAACAGTGTTATCATGTCGCCCTAGTCCCATGATGGCGAACCTAAGGCATGTGTGCCACAGGTGGCACACAGAGCCATTTGTGCTGGCATGCGAGCTGCAAGCAAACTTACCTCACTGCACATGCACGTGCCTCACAGCTGATTTTCGGCATCCCACAGGCTTGAGGAAAGCCTCTGCATCCCAAAAAACAGGGCCATTTGTCACTTCCTGTATTTCCGAAAATACCGGAAATGACAAAACGGGCCTATTTTTTGGGCTGCAGAAACTTTTATCAAGCCTCTGGAAGGACAAAAAAGGCCTCAAACAGACCAAAAATCAGCTGGGAGGTGCAGTGCAGGTAAGGGGGTGGATGGGGGGGGATCGCACGTGCATGCGCAGGGGGATTGCGCATTGCCTTCTGGATGTTGGCGTGTGAGCGCACACACAATTTTTGGCACAGGAGCTCAAAAAGGTTAGCCACCACTGCCCAAGTCCTTTTTATTACATACTCAATTCCAGTTACCATTCTACATGTTTTAGCCTCCAGCCCCCTAATTTTCTTTGTTGCTGTTCTCTGCACTCTTTCCAGAGTCTCAACATCTTTTTTATACTGTGATGACCAAAATTGGATACAGTATTCCAAGTGTGGCCATACCAAGGCCTTGTAAAGTAGTACTAAAACTTGGTGAGAGCTTGATTCCATCCCTCTGTTAATGCAGCCTAGGATTGAATTAGCCTTTTTGGCTGCTGCTGCAGCACACTGCTGGCTCATATTTAAGTGATTGTCCACTAGGAATCCAAGATAGTCTCTCAGTTACTGCTATTAAGCCAAATTTCACATAATGTATACATATAGTGTTGATTTCTCTACACTGAATTTCATTTTGTTAGATAGGGCCTGGTGTTCACATCTGTCAAGATCCCTCTGGATCTTGAGCCTATCTTCTGGGGTGATGGCTATTCCTGCCATCTTAGTGTTGTCTGCAAATTTGATGAGTTTTCTTCTATTCTCTCATTTATATAGTTTATGACAATATTGAAGAATACTGGGCCTAAAACAGATATTGGGGTATCCCACTGCTTACTTCTTTGTATGTAGCTATAGTTCCATTAAGGAACTATATGTGCTGAGTGTGATTTGTCAACTAGTTACTAATCCATCTGCTGACCATGATGTCTATCCCATGTTTTTCTAACTTACCAAGAAGCAGGTTGCGGTCTATATCAAATGCCTTTCTGAAATCCAAGTATTCTATGTCCACAGCATTTTGTTGGTCCAATAATTTAGTCACTTTGTCAAAGAATGAAATAAATTTGCCTGGCATGATCTGTTTTAATAAGTTGACTTCTGGTCATAACTTTGCTTGCTTCTACTTGTTTGCAGATCTGGGTTTTTTTAAATTATCTTTTCCAGGAGCTGGAAGATCTGCCCCCACCCCCTTTTTTTTGAAGATAGAAACCCTATCAGCTCTTTTCCAGTACTCTAGTACAGGACCTCAGGGACCACCAAACTCATAATTTTAAATCTAAGGGAACACTAACCGATTCTGTGGGCGTGGCCTAATTGGTGGGTGTAGCTTGGTGGTCATGTGACTGGCTGGGCATGGCTTGTATATAAATATTATAAATATTTATATAAATATTGGGTTTTTTTTTAAAAAAGAAAAACTTTTACCCAGGCAAAGCAGGCAGGCAGATTGAGTTACTCACAGAAGCATTCAGTGACCTATCTATCTGCCATCGGCTAGCTCATTCTCTCAAATTTGCTTGCCGTGAATAATAGAACCTTCAGTCCTAAGGGAGGTTCGGCTGTGCTTAAAAGCATAGCCGAAGATCTAAAGATTAGCTAGAAAGCAAGAAATCCAACCATTTTCTGCTTCCTAACTAATCTCCCAGCAAAGCAGAACAGATGATGGTTGGAAAAAGGAAAAATAGCAATTTAGCAGGCAAGTTTGCTGTATAAAGAGTGAGTGGGCGGGGAGGGTTCCTGCAGGCCATGTGGGCGGCGCAGACTTGTGTTTCTGCGCAGCCTGGATTAATTGCTTTGAGGGGGGGGGTTCTGGGGGTGAGATTTCTGTGCGGCCCACCAAAATTTTCTCATGGCCCACCAGTGGGCCACGGCCCACCGGTTGGCGACCGCCGCTCTAGTAGTTCCCTATTGCTCCAGAATCTTTAAAGATATGTTTCAAGGATTCCAAGATAATTTCTGCCAGCTAGCGCCTTCACAACTCTGGAATGTAAACCATCAAGTTTTTTTTTTTTGCTTATCTTAAATTGTATTCCTAGCCTGTCTTTTACAGTTTTGTTTTGGGTAGATTGGACTAATTTTTCTTTTTGCATGAAGACTGATACAAAGAATGAGCTAAGCTGCTCTGCCTTCTCTCTGTTGCCCATCACTTTCTTGCCATCATCTCCCATTAGTAATATTATATACATAAAAATATTAAAACTTATTTGCTAGCTCTTTAACTGGTATTGGCCTTCATATGTAACGAGTTCTTCCCAAGAGCCTAGGACGTAATGTAATGTGCTATATATGCAGATTCAAGCAGTGTGGCCTTTTGTAATTAACAGATGGAAAGTTTTGTCATTGTTATTATTCTCTCTCCATGAAAATGTGAGATCATTTAATGGTGGCTGCTGCTTGAACATGACCTAGGTAAGAAGCTAAGGTTTATGATTACTTAAATATAAAGCAAGGTTTAAAGCGAGGTATATATATAATCAAACTCTGCACATGTTTAGGAGGACAAGCCACTGTACTAAGAGCAAAGAAGCTTTTAAGAGAAAAGTAACTTTCTTGATTCTGTCAATCTTGATTTTAGGGGTTAATTCCTACAAGATCTCCCAATTTTAGAAGAGCAAACATCATGCAAAGGAAACTTATATGGCTGCTGTCCACTTGCTTTTGAATGTGTTTGACAAGTTGTGTAGCTAACTTTTTATTTTTAAGAAATCATCCAACTCTTTTCTTTTCAACTGCCTCACGGGAATGAGTGGGTTCACTTTTTTTTCTGAGTGATCTGTAACACAGTGCTTATTCTATCTCAGGTTTGTCAGACATTACTCCAATTAATCCCACTAATATGCACTGATTTGGCAATATATACTAGAAGCTGAACTTGGTGGTAAAGGTACATTCCAAATAGTGCAAATACTGTAGTCTACTTGAAAATTTATACTCAAAGCTATCATAACTAAATCACCACTGTCTAGAATACAGTCTTATTGTATTAAGTAAATAAGCATTAAATAAGAATCCTTGCCCCAATTGCTGGCCAACAGTGCACGGACAACTTAAAAGTATGACAGAAAATTAAACACTCATTAGTTACCTTCTTCTCCTGTTCTATTTGGATTTCATTCTTATGACGTTCCAATGCCTTTGCTACTGCTGACTCAAAAGCTTTTTTCTCTTCCAGTTTTTGCTTTTCTAAAGCTGTCTTAATATGTTGTTCTTCTCGGACTTTCATATCTATCAGCTCCTTATTCAGCTGGTCTATGCGGCGATGAGCATGAGCAATGAGAGAGTTCAGGTCATCTGTTGTTAGTCGGTCAGCTGGAGAAGACAGATGTTTAAACAGATCAAAATTGTTAAATCTTCACATATTACTTAACTGCATAAACAAAGATTATTTCAACTTTTCTTAACCTAGTGCCTCCAAACAATTTAAACTTCAGTTCCCAATCCTTTCTAGCCAATATGTAACTAAGACTTGAAATCCAACATTACTAGGAAAAAGCAAGAAAAGTCTGATTCAAAATTCTTTATATTTCTTTCATTTATCAGAACCAAATACTGTAAACTACCTGAGGAAATTTTTTTGTAGAAAGAAGCAATATAGAAATACAGAACAGTAAATAATTGCTGTATGTTCTCATGTACTCTGGAAACAAAGCATCAGTGAAATCTAATCATTCTTTTAGAGTACAAAGAAGAAAAGGAGCGTAGTGATTTTGCAACAGTGAATAAGGTATTTATGAAATGAACCTTTTCTCATCTGAGTGTCCCAATTAGAGGTAGGAAGAATTAATTTATGCCATTTCTTAAGCATTCAGAATCCTGAAAGATTACAGATGAAATAAAAAAACACTCACTGGACTCAAATTATTTTGCATAAAGATCTCTACAGTAGACTAACCAAACAAATGCAGCACCATTACAAAAATAATACAATAAAATAAAAACATTAATATTTCCAAATATATTTAATTATATCATCGAATAAGTTTATTGATTTAATTAACCACCAAGAAAAAACTTTATAGAGAGTTTTAAAAAGTAATTATCTATATTCAACAAGTTTTATGGCATCCTATCTTTAGATCAGTTCAAGGAAGCTTTGTCTGTGTTCAGCTCAATAAAGGAACCACTAATTGTTATTTTTAAATTTCAATGCAACTTACTATCAAGAATTATATTTTTAAAAGTTATTAAGTCAAAAATCATTTGATGACATTTTAAAAATGCATTAAACACTTTAGATTTTAATATTTGGTTTTAAACTTATTTATGTTTTAATGTATATGTATATTCTTAACATTAACATAAACAATGTACAAAACAATTTTTAAATGTAAAAAAATTAACAGGAACCAAAACAAAAGGATTACTTTCTTACAAATCCATACAAATTATTTATATGTACACAAACTTTATAAAATAGTAATTTGTAAACGGCTCAAGAAAATAACTATTCATGTTGGAACACAAATACATGTAATTGCTTTATGCTCACAACTGTTATTCCTTACATTGAGCATTATTAGCACATTTTTTAAAAAAATGATTATGTAAGTTTTAAGAAAGATAATTTTAAAAATGTAAATCAAATGTATATGTATGTATGCCATTTTATTCTCATGTTAAAATAAACAAGAGACATAAGAAGTTTATACAAAGCACAACTGTGTTAAGAACTCACCTACATCAGTTATTTCTGCAAGAGAAAATCAAGGTATGAAGAAGTTAAACCAGATTCATAGTAATAGATCAATGAGTTGTTACAAGTATTCAGAAGCAAAGAAAATAGATACAAGTCCAAGGCTTGAAAATTAATAAAGAAGATAGTTAAAAATTCAAGTATGATACTAGCATGCATTTATAGCTGGGCTTCACCCTCTCAAATGTGTGTATATATGAAGGAATTCTCTGCCAATGCAGAATGCTAGGTGCAATCACTGTTTACCAATACATTCTTCCCAGTAACGCAGATTAATTTTTGCACTTTCTTTTTAAAATCTTTCTGCATCACCCTTCAGTCCTAATTTTTGGATACTGCAGCATGATAAAGGAAAAGCATGCATAATCTCCTTGGCATTTTGGTCACTCCATAATGCCCGTTTCTTTCTATGGACTATATATTTATGTTGATTTGTCTAATATTTTACTTGATTCATTGACTTGAGAATAGAGAATGTATTATAATTGCTTTCTTAGATCTAAAGTAATTATTTGATTATGTATTCTCAATATCTGTACTTCCCAGTAAGATCACTTAGAAGACAGTTTTTCGTTTCATATGGAGCTGCATAGAACTGGTGGTTTTAGTTGTGATTGAGTCATACACGCTAAAATGTATGGCAAATCACCAATGTTATGTGCTTATTGTAAACAGGTAATGCTTCATATGTCATTGGTAACTGAATGCACTCTACTTTGTCTTATGTGAAAATCTCAATGGACAAAATCAATGAAAATATTTAGGGGCATGAATTTGGGAATGAATTTTGCATATGGAAACTTGCAATTAGGAATGTAAGGGGAGTAAATGATAAAGGAGAGATACCCTGATGTAGTGGTTAAGGTATTACATTAATCATTATGGATATGATGGGAGAAGATGATTGATATTAGTGTAAATTAGATGTGCTTATATTTTCTTTTATCTCTGATCTTTAATTTCTTTTGCTTACTGCTTTCTCTGGGTTTGTGTAACAAAGTTTACCTAAAACAGCTATAGGTATGCATGGATGTACTGTATGTCAGCCATTTAGTACTGTGGAACTTACAGTTAATTGCTGTTTTAGTGAACTACTTCGTATTATTTATTTAATTTATACACTTTGTCATCCAAAGCGGAACAACTACTTTATTGATTTGTTTCAGTGGACTTTAATTTACTTGTGGCTGAATTATTTACATTAATATTTGAACATAATATCTTCTTTTTAAAATGTAATTTAATATATGGTGAAAAATATCTTAAATAATAATAATAGCTTATTAGGAGTTTTTGCTGTTTAAAATAGCCCAGCCAATGTCCCTTTTAAAAGGCAGAAGAACAGCAGAACAGTAGAAAATACACTATAGATGGTGTCAGGTTCAATCCCTGACATTCCTAGAACTTTAAAAGATATTGGGTAGAAAGTGGGATTTACTTCTGTCTAACTTGTAGAACTGCTGTCTGTCATAGATGAAGATCTCTTATATATCTAAAACTTTGTATAAATATCATTCTTAGAAGAAACATATGCAAGCAGGTGGTTTTAATTTAATTGATGAGTATTTGTTTTGTTCTGTATTTTAAATATTGGATGAATATGAGTTTGCTTGTTTATTAAGTGTAAACATACACATTCTCAAATTTAAGGTACATGGCAGACTATGTTATTGCTGATGGAAAGAACAATATACCCATATCAAGCTCAAAAGAAAGTATCCATGATTAAGAGTCCACAGAATTAAGTAGGCATCAATTTAAGAAGTTAACAAGGAGAAAGTATTAATCCAGCTAACCCCCCAAAAATCAAGCATTCAAATGGAGATGCTGGTCATGACGTCAGCTATTTATATATTCTATGATCTTACTTACTTAGCCCCTTCCAACCAGTCTGAATGTCAGGAGTAACACTATCCAGCTCTCTCTGGAATTCTTCTCTTGCTTTGGTTACAAGATCATGGTACTGTGATACTATTTTAGCTTCTGACTGTGCTGCTTGTACCTATAGAATAAAAATAAAAAAGCTTAAAATCTCAAGTGGGTATTTGGTTAGTAACTTTATAAACAATGTCTAGAGTAGACACAGACAGGAACAGGAATATCCAGTAACAAACAATTAACCAATGATTCAAAGGGCAACGTTTATCAATTACTTCAGCGCTTTGTGATTACATTCAGAAGTTCTTCTGCATTATTAGTCCAGCTGAATTATTAAAGTTGAGGTTGAATCATAACAAATGTGCCTCCTGGAAGTACATCAATAAACAGAGGGAAATTATTTTGCAAAACACCTTGAACTTGTTTTTATTATTTATGAGATTTATGACATTTATGTATTTGAATATGTTCATTTGAAAACAGAAAGGGAACACTTAATATTTCCTGACATGAATAAGACAGTAAGACAGCATTACTATTAGAGGAAGCAGATACCGGTGATAAAATACTAAAAATGAAATAAAAGCAGAAGAGTCACATTTTAACATAAAACCTTATTTGGACAGGTATATAAGCATCTGCAGTGATAGTAACAATTTAATTACAACCCCAGAAATTTAGAGAGGGAGGAAAAATAGAATAAATAGGTAGATAGATGATATAGATAGAATAAATGGATGGACCAACTGTGTTACCACTGACCTCCACTTCTTAGATCTTGTCTGATTCCTAACAGACTATCTACCAACTACAGCAGTCACAGACAAGCCTCCTCACCACTGTGATTTTCTCATCCCACATATAACAGCCAATTTTCAGAAAAACATCATATGGGCTAATTGTCCATTTCTGAAGATGAGCTAGAAGATTCAATGAGAATGATGAAAATGATTCATTCTCAAATGATTTCTCTAATATTCCTATTGTCTGAATAGGATCTCTGCACCTACCCAAGGCATGGTAGTCTAGTTGCTCAATCCAGGACTACAGAGAATATGAAGAAAAAAGCCAGATCGACTATCTGTATCTGTGGTTCTCAGGAGGGTAATGAATGTCCCCCCCCCCCCGCCCACCCTCCCACCCCCAGTTAGTTATATTAACTTCCAACTGATGGAACTGAGTGGAAGTTCCAAAGAACAAATATGAAAGATTCAATCCCTCCCCAGGGAAGATGGGAACATCTCTTCTCTGTAGTTATGTGAACTTCTGAGGAGTTGTGTGTACATAGAAACCACTATGTGTATACATAGGCCATCATTCAAATAGTACCAGTTATAGTTAAGGAATTTGACTTTTTTGCCTTTGAAGAAACAGCAATCTTTCACACGTTCCTTGTTCTTCTCCTAGATTCTTACTCCCTAACCTCTGACTACTTTAAAAAAATAATTTAAAAACTCCTTAGTTAGAAATATACAAAATAGAGATGAAATACTAATAGTATAGAAAAATGCAAAGGCAACGGTAATTATCCAATAATTCATAAACATCAAAGAAAATATTTGAAAAAAGGGAGAGTGAAATTAGTTTCTATTTCATGTATTTCTCAGCAAAATATTTATTTGTTAAATATACTATATTTTTATTATGGGAAAATATATTAATTTATTTTGGAGATATTAAACAATAAATTGATTTTTAGTATTAAAGTTCACTAAAATATCCATAGCATCAGTAAAAATCTATAAAAGCCCATTTTTTACGAGTTTACCTTTTTGACCACATTGTCCAAGTCAGTTATCATACGATGAAGGTTCTCTTCTATGCCCTGAATGTGAGGTTTGACTCCAGGTATACGAGACTTCTTGGCATTATCAATCACACCTTTCATTTTTTCTATTTCTTCTCTAAATAAAACCAAAATCATCAAATATACCAGCATTCATTGTTTGTTCAAGCAAAAAAAACCCAAAAAGATGAAAATCAAATCTGTCACTGCTGTATCTATAAAGCAGGAGTTATTAACTTCTTTAGGCAGCAGACACTAGTTCACACAATATCATAGGTGCTAAAGTGTAAAAATATTTAATAAAATGAACATTACATGTATTTACATATGTAATGTTTACATATCATCCCTACCAGCCTCTAGAAAGTCCTTAAAAAATGTTTTTCCAGCAACCTTAAGGATCTCAAAAAAGACAGAGCCTTTGAGATGGTTGTATTATCTTTATAATATTGCTAATTTTCTTGAAATCTTGGTTTTTATTTCTAATTAGTTTTTATGGTTGTTTATATTTGTTTTTAACTGATTTTGCAGTATACTGCTCAGAGTCATACGAAGGTGTGATGAGAAGCCATCTAAATTTGCTTCAATTAATACGTGAATGTTTTAGGCTAAACAAAAATAGGAACAAACAAATAAGGTGGTATGACCTTTTTTTAAAAAAACCAAATAACTAATTCCTTTTTAATGATGTCATTGAGCATTATTGACAGGTAGTTCCCAGACCACTCTTTCAGTGACCATTTGATGTTATGGTGGTTCTGAATGCATAAGTTGTACTGGTCTATATACAACTGTTTACCTGTGGTCACATGATCATGACTTGGGTGCTTGCACAGTATGCACTTTTGACAGCTGCAGCATCCCACAGTCATGTGATCACCATTTGTGACCTCCCTGTTGACTTCCTATGAGTAAAATCAAGGGGGAAGCCAATAGGAAAGGTGGTAAGTCATTTCAGTAGAATTCCCCAACCCAGCAGCAGTCACACGCAGCCTAGCCAATGATTGTGTTATACTTCATCAGCCACTGTCCACCCTTCCCAACCCAGCAGCAGTTATTTCCAGCTTGGCTGTGTACTTGCAGCACCTTGCCAGTCACTGTCACACCTGATCCAACAGCAGCCATTTACCTACCCATCAACCTATTTGCATTGCCTCAGATTTGCGACTTTGTAATAGTTTCCCCATGGGCTGTACTTTTTGGAAATCAGCAGGAAGTTGCAAGGAGGTCCTCGCCTAGCAACCTGCAATCCTCACTTAATGACGGTAACAGACTACTAACATTGCTGTCACTAAGGAATGCAGTCAAGTGACTTCTTGCTTTATAAGTGCATTATTTAGTGATAGAAATTCCAGTGCCAATAACTGTTATTAAGAGGTACTGTAGCGGTAACCCTTATATAATTAAATTATATAATTTAAAAATTTACCTTATTTATTCCAGTCACCGATTAGAGTTTACCTGTAACATCGGCCCAGAGTTTGCTTAACCATATTTTTTTGTGGAAGCCAAAACTGCCTGGAGTTATTCTTTAAGCTATAAATAGTTCAGAAACCAGAACAGCTGGGAAATTAACACACAAACTCCAATTGAAGTAAACTATAGCTTAGTTCATTGTATAAACTCAGTCATTAATTACTGAAACTAAAATTAACACAAAAACTCTACAATTGTTGTTTTTATAGTAGAAATATTTTTAACATCTTTTTTAATATAAAAACTAGAAAACTCACTTGGCCTTTAAAAGAATATCAGCAGCTTCATCCACAGCTTTTCTACGATCCTTCAATGCTTCCTCCAGAGTTCGCCACTGAGCTGCCTTTTTCTCACTTGGAACCTAGCAAGATATTCAAGATACCTAATCGTTTTCATTATTATTATCATTTTCATTATTCATTATTGGGCAAATTCCTTGTGTGCTCAACCATGTTTGGCCAATAAACTATTCTATTCTGTTCTGTTCTCCTCTCTTACTCTACTCTACACTACTCGACTCTACCCTATTCTAACATATTGGTGACACATATCCAAACCTTTTGTAGATGTTCTCTCTCGTACCTTTTAGTAGGAGTATAAATGTGCTAACTTTGAAAAAGTATCTTTCATTCAACAATGCAATATATGTTTACATAATCAAAAAGTATCTTAGCTTCTTTCAAATCAGACAATTCCTAATCAACAGAATTGCACTGTCTTGTTCAAAATATATCTTCAGAGTATTCTACTGAAAAAGATGCATTAGAGCACTTTGATACTAAGCATCTAATTAAAAGTAATTATATTGCTTTTTCCAGGCACAGTTGGGACCAAAATTGCTAAGCAAGGTGGTTGTTAAGCGAGTTGTTCCTATTTTTAATTTTTTTGAAATAGTTGTTAGGAGAATCATTCAAGTTGTTGAGTAAAACCAACTTTTCCATTGACTAAGTTTGTTGGAAACCAGTTAGGGAAGTTGAAAATGATGATTACATGACCCTGTGATGCTGCAACAGTCATAAATACATTCTGGTTCCCAAAAACCCAACTTTGGATCATGTGACTATAGGGATGCTGTAACTATCATATGCAATGACCAATCACAATTTACTTTTTTCAGTGCCAATTTCATTTTGAATAGTCACTAAACAAATTATTGTTAAGTAGAAAACTATCTTTATTAACTTTTCATCCCTCTAATAGAAAAATGTTTCTGAACAGGAACATTACACTTTCAATTAAATATATACAAAATCAACTATTACAAGAATGGAACATTCTTGAGAATCCTAAAGCATGTCGATCCGATTCTTACAGGTGTAGTTCAAGTTAATTTTTTCAATCAGAAGTTTGTGATGTTTTACACAAAAGATCCCCTGGTTCTTATGTAACAAAGTTATACAACTTATTTAGATACACATTTGCATTGCTGTGAGCAGTTATTGCACTGCCACTGAATAGATTTTATCCAACTGCCTTTTACTTTTTTTTTTACAATGTTCCCCTAGTAATGTCATCTGTTCTAGCAAAAAGCTATAATATCATCTCAAGTTTCATATAAGTGATCTTCATTTACTGTCCATGCATTCAGCCACCATTCAAAGTTACAATAGTGCTGAACAAGGGATACTTAAAACAGGTCACAGCATTCCCATGTCTCTGATCACAATTTGGGTGCCTGGCAATTGGCTCGCAATTATAAGGCTCGCAATGTCCAATAATTGTGTGGTCATTATTGTGATTTTTCACTGCCAACTTCCAACAAAGTCAATGGCAAAACCAGCAGGAAGTCAAGTGATATTTTGTCTTACAACTGGGTTGTTAGCAGTGGAGTTTCTGATCCCAATTATTGTTTGTAAGTGAGAGGACTACTGTACTGTTGAATAACTTCTGTATTGGTTTTACCCTCTAAAGACATTTAGCAACCTTTCCTTAGCAATTAAAAACATCAAACAAAATGTACAAAAATGTAACATATAATAAAAATAAAACATGTGGACCTCAGAGTTATCCATAGCTTCTTTCAGTTTCTGAGCATGGAGATTGACAGCCTGGACAGCAGTTTCCTGGAGAGTAACTGCTTGCAAAGTGATACGAGCAGTGCTATTCAAAGCGCTTTCCAAGGATGCTGCAAGGGCTAGAAAGAGGAAGGTGAAAAACTGAGATTCATTTTATTGATTATTAATGTTACTTGGTTAATTTAATCTTCCAGTTTAATTTTTAATATCTTTTTTCATATTTTCTTAAAATTAAAAACAAAATCAAAGATCTGGCATTTGACTATAATTTTTCAGGAAATGCAAAATATGGATAAATATTTGCAGAAAGTCAAGACCAGAAATCAGATTTAAATATTTAAAGTTGGCCGTCTGTCCATTCTGACTTAAAAGTTCCAGATTCACTCATCATGGATTTGTATTTATGGAATACTTCTATATACTGGTCCATGGTTCCAAACGATATTTTGGCACACAACTTTGCCGGCTCATAAGCAGCAATACATATTAAATTAAATAAAATGCATATGAAAATAATTCATGAATCTATTAAGTGTTGTAAAATGAATATGAACTACATAAATTATCTTTTCAAGTGGTAAAATCAACAGTTCCATTAAGGTTTATTTTAGAGCTGCTGAAATTAAAATCATGTTTTTGAAATTGTATAGAAGTAATCACAATATCTACCCACATACCCTTAATTTTCTCTTTTTCTTCTTTTTCTTGTTGTGCTAGACGAGCTGCAACCTCTTCAGGTGGCCTTTCTTTTACAACAGCGTCACCATGACGATGTTCTTTACCTAGATATAGATATTTTTAAGCACAATACTGAAAGGAAAACTGTCAAGAGTATTCATGAATGGAAGAGACATAGTTAACAAAGTCAACCAATGGGAGCTGAATTGAGGGCTGAGTATTTGGGTGTTGCTTAGCTCTGTGCTCTCAATTCTGAAAGTGAAACTAGTAATCTGCTCTGAGCTCCTGAGTTGTGTTTTTAACTTCCATGTTGGAAAAATCTACTACTGGTATTATGAACTTTACTTCATCTCATTATGTTTATAAAGAAGTTAATGATCCTCCTGAATCAGTCATCTGTGTTTTTTCTGGACTTGAATTTCTGCTGCACACTAACAAAAACCAAGATTAAGCAAACTTTATTTTTAAGAAATTTACTTATTTGCTACATTTCTATAGAGGCCTGGGTGCTTGGAAAGCATTTTGCAGGTATATGAAATGTCCTCCTAATACCTTATTTTAAACAATTAGGAATGAGGGTTTGATGACTGAATTATGCCTTCAATCATTCTAATGGTGTAAACACACATATTGGACATAACTCTTGAAATTATAGTGTGAGCAACTGAGATCCACATTTCTGCTCATCCTCAAAATAGCATGAAGACACATTACAGCTTTTAACACTATTCTGGATCTGAAGAGACAACAGTAAAATCTATGTAGTGACACTGAGCTTTGGAGAATTCAGTACGAGTACGGAAAAATTCCCATTTCTTGTAACACCTGACTAAAGAAAGTTGCTCTTTTGATGGTTCTTCTGAAATAAAATGTAGGGCTGTTTTCATAGTGGGAATTGAAGTATCTCGATCAGTTGGATCATCGAGTGCCAAAATGAAATTCTGCTTGCACCTTCAACTCAAAAATTCAGAAGGCACAATTTGAAAGTGGAGATTATGGCTGCCTGAAGGAAAGCCTTACAAAATGTAAAATTTATTTAAGAAAATATACTAAAAACAGGTAACAGAAAAAAAAAAAGCAAAATCTTGATAATCACAAATTTCAGCTTACTATGGAAGATAGTAGCAGCAGGCCACAAAAACTTTTATGGACACTACCATAATCTGTAAATGTATTCCTTTTTGGAACCTTGGAGTAAAAATCTGGTAAGATCAGAGGAAACCAATGAAATAACTTATTATTTTTGATTGATTATCTTATTATCTTCTAATGTCAAAGAGGCTATTCATTATATTTAAATATTGTGACAGATACATTGAATTCTTACAAAATTACACAGATCTCAATAAGATTTCACTAAAGAGGGATTTAAAATTAGTTACAAAACAGTGAACCGCTGCACCATAGAAAGCATTTTAACATACTGCACCTCTGTATGGTTTGCCAATTGCACAGTGGCAGATAGGAAAGCACTCCAGAGGGTTAATGTCATTGCCCAGAAGATCGCTGGTTGCCCTCTCCCCTCTTTGGAAGAGCTTTATAGCTCCCGCTGCCTTAAGAAAGTTCAAAACATTCTCAAAGATCCATCTCATCCTGGGAACCCTTTTTTTGAACTATTACCATCTGGCAGATGGTACAGAATAATAAAAACAAGGACAAATAGGCTGAAAAGCAGCTTCTATCCCAGGGCAGTAGCTCTTTTGAATTCTGCTGTATAGTGCAGTGTTGGTGTGGTGTCAGGGGTTTCCGGTTCAATGTGTGGAGGGTGAAGGGTGTGTGTTTGTGTTTATTTTCATGATCATGATGTGCACTGAAGATGGTGTTTCGTTTCATTTCATTGTATGAGGTGCAATGACAATAAACTAAACTAAACACAGTGAAATTGAATGTATGTATGTATGTATGTATGTATGTATAATTTGAAGTCATATTCAACTTCTTCTAAAGGAGAAAATAAAAGATGAGGCAAGCATTATCAAGAAAAGTAGTCTTATCAGAAAAAAAAACCCAGAAAAAACCCAAAACTTTATAAGAAAATATTTATAGTTTTTATTTTCTCAACTTTGTATTTTATTGCTAAAGTTTTCAAAAAAAAATCTAGGATATTTTATTGAGTATTTTTTTTAACACTTCAAGTTTAAACTGAACAACAACAAACCCAATAATAAGGCTCCTCCCCAAAATGGCTGCTGATCAGTTGGAAGTTTTTTTTCTCCTGCCAGCAATCTGCTGATTTTTGCTGCCAAAGCTCTCTGGATCTGAATGGTAGCACTTAGGAATGACCCAAGGTGACTTTAGGACAACTGCAGATCTACCAGGAAGGGGAATCTTGAAGGCTGCAGTTCCCTATAGGAGTAGCCAGAAGGTTACTAGTCTTTCATCCAGTCTTTTCCTCTGGGCAAACTGTTCTTGTAATCAAGCCTGGGTTTTAACTTTTGTTTTACTTTGGTTTTTATCTTTAAAAGTTAGCTGGCTGGTTGAATGCTGATTTACTTCAACCCATGCTAGATTTTATCTGTTCTTTTTGCTTTTTTCTCTATTCAGCTGTTTTCATTAATTCCTGATTTTTTTTGTAGGAAAATCACAGGGTGTTCCTGGATAGTGAAAGTGCTTTTACTAGATTTACATTTTTATTGGACATTCACTGCAGGGATTTTATATTTCACCAATTTGCGTAACATTTGGAGCTTATCTCTTTCAATTTTTCTTTTAATTTCAGATAGACGTATCCAGAAAATATCTTTTCTGCTGCTCTCTCTATTTACTTATTCTGCTTTGAAGAACTGCCTTATCTACTATATAGAGCAACAACATATTAAATTAAAAACAAGGGAATGACACTGACACTAGAAAAAAGACAGTTTGCTAACATGTAATTCCCAGCTGAAAGCTTTTTTAAAACTTTGATGAATTGATAACAGTTGTGGAAAACATTCAGAGGCAACTAAATGTAGATATATTAAATCCACCAAAGGAATGTGATTTGAAAGTAGTAGATTCACTGGGAAGAAATATGGACCCTACAATTTAGAACTAATTGAGTCAACTCCATATGGCTCCCTAAAGTTCAAGCCTGCATTCTTATGCAACAGCACAAAACTGAGTGGATAAGTTATAAATTGTTCTTTCTTAAGTGGACTGAAGGAGATTGGGGAATGGATTATTACACTTAATTGGGAAACAATTTCATCTGAGTTTTTGGGGACGATAGGCTGGCTTTGGAGATTGGACTGATTATATATAATCAGATAATAATGGATAAGAGACAGTTTTAAGAAACATATGTGGATATTTGATCCAGGACGAACCAATGTTAATTTTTGGGAGAAAAATTAATAAAATATTATTGTAGAAATATGTAAAACTTCCAACAAAGGAATATAGCAATAAGAGAACTATAGAAATTAAGAAGGATGTTAATTTTTGCTAACAAATAAAACATATAATTGTTTCAGTCTTTGAAATAAACTTGACTTGAACTGAAGAAAGTTAACTTCATAATCAAAATAAATAAGTTTTGTCACTTTCTATACAAAACTAATGCTTTTGTGACTTTGCTACATTGTAGCTGAATATATAAGTCTTTGGTTACTAAACGCAGCAATTAAGCAGATGACAATGTGAAATTTTAAGTTACACAGTCATAAAAAATAATCATTTAAATCAATAGATATCTTAGATATGGAACAAAATTATTAATCTTCATGTGACTAAACATCTCAAGAAAGTAAGTACAATCAGTAACAAAATATTAAAAGTGGTTATACAAAACTTGCAGAATATTAAAGAAGTAATTTATCAATCGAGGAATTCTTGCTGAAAGAGATGGCAAGAATCTTGATAGTTAACATCCACACATAATGGGTCTAGCTTTGAATTTCCATAATTATATTTGTTTCAGAATTTTGAGATAAACAAAAGATACCTAAGTCAGGAGGTTTTTGCTGAACGTGACTTTTGTAGCATTCCTCCTCCTGCTGCATTCCAGGAGCTGGTACTGACAATGCTTCACCTGTTGCTGAGAGTATGTGAGCGACTTCTGAGCCTGCTGTAAATATTGATGATACATAGACTTAAAGGGCTGGATGCTGAATAACTGAACTATCTTGGGGGGGCGGGGGGGGGGGGGGGGCGTGATCTAACAGTTAATAGCCAGATCGCTATCTTTACAAAGCTTTCTTTTAAATAGTACTGATTTTTATCTTAACTTTCTTTCTCTCTCTCTCTCTCTTTCTTGCCATCCATCCATCTTTATTATTTTATAAGTAACTCAAGGAGGTGAACATATATAACACTCCCGCCTCCTTCTATTTTCTTGATGACAAAAATCCTATGAGGTGGTTTAGGCTTAGATTAACCCTAATTTAACCACTGGTTCTCAAACTTGATTCTTTTATATGCTTTTGGGGGTGGTTGTTTTTTCTTTTTCTTCTTTTTCTAACTTCATTTCTTTTGTATTCTATATTATGTTGTTATGACCTGTGATCACAATGAATTAATTGAATGATTAGTGATGTAAACATATACACAAACTCCATTCGTGCATTCTGCTACTGCCAGTCTTCTTTGCTTCAACCAGGACTTTGGAAGCTATTCCAAATCTTATTTGAGGCAGAGAAGAAGCTAACTTCTGTCAGTGTGGAAAGCTTGCAATGAATTATTGAAATGCAAAGGCAGGCTTTTTCTTAATATTCAAATTGTTGTCTAAATAGAACAAACCTTGTGCTTTAAAGACCAAGGTATGGCATTTCATTCTTTTTCCATATGGAAGTAACAAATACTTTACTTTTACTCTTTACTTTTCACATAGAGGATTCAAAAGTAATAATCAGACTGATATAGGCAGTACTTTTTTCTAGCAGCAATTAAATTTTATAGAGCTAAGGTAATCTAATTTTACTCCATTTTGTGTTTATAAAAATATGATGTCCCATGTTTCTCAATTAATTTTTAATGTATTATTTTAACTTAAGAGATTCTTCTAATAACTGTTTTGTATGGTATGTGAGGCCACCACCTGAGATACTGATTGCAACTAAATCTTGGAAACAAATCTCCAGTCTTACTTGTTCTTAGAGAAAAATTCAACTCTTCCTGTAAAAAGCTGCAGGAAATTATCTTTCCAATTATGGCCTACCAACCTAATCACCAATGATCTCTAGCTTGGAGAAAGCTATTTCTAAAATAAAATAACATGTTTTAGATCTTGATTAACAAACTGGAAGATCTAATATTCCAAATCATCTTATTGAATTTTATCTTAATTCTTTTGCATTCTTCCTACATTATTTTTCTCTGTCATGCTGAAAAGTATTCAGATTAGCAAGAATTAATGACCAGCTAACAAACAAGTGGAAGGCCAGTTTAAAAATATTTCCCAATGAGAGGTAACTGCACATGCTCAGAAATAGTTAAATCAGTAACTCATGTTCTCTTGTACTTTCCCTTATTTCAATATTGGAATACTGATTCTAATATATTCTTCCTTTCTTGGTGAGTATAAGGATTACTCTGTGTGCCAAACTGCATACTTTATATCAGCAGGTTTTTCTACTGATAAGAATCACCTAGATATTTGGGAATCCAAAAAGATTCCCAATTCTATTTACTTTCTTACTGTTTTTATATACATATAAAATATTTTAACTTATTTAATTAAATCTATTCAATCTATTACATATATTTCTTCTCTTAATTTATTTAATTAGTCTCAACAATATTTACACATTTTTCCTTTTAATTTGTTCTTTGACCATAAATAACGTTCTGAAGATTGTGATTCTTATATTTGTTACATAATGCTTTTAACATTTTAATAATTTTATACAAAATATTTTAAAGCGTATTTCAACAACACAAGTTATCAGCAAGCACTGAATATAAAAGGACACACAGGTGTTAATATTCTCAACAAAAAAGAATAGATTAGAGCTAGTTTAAAACATTGCATCTTTCATAAATAGGACACTGCCTAGCGGGATTATAGGGCAATAATCTGTTTTACCTTCTTTTTCTTCAGTAGTAGTTGAAGTAGCATCTGTTTTGCTCTTTGGAGATTTCACAACTGCTTGTTTAGATTCTTTCTTTACTTCTGCTACAGAAGAGATATTTAGTGGAGCTGACTGTATCTGTGGGAAAAAATATTTAGTTCCATTAGTCAGTAGGTTTTCTTACTATTATTTTATTTGTGCTTTATTCCCACTGAGAGAAAAAGAAAATTCCTCTTGCTTTCCCAGTAACATGGTATAATAACTTTCCCTAGTAACATGACATAACTTCATCATGAATTTCATCTTAACTGTGAAATAAATAAAGTTCACAAGGAAAGAATTTCATTTTCAAGGATAAAAATTGAACCCTAAAGTTTAGACAAGCTAAAAGCAGCAACTAAGAACAGTGTCAGAAGCCAGCAAAGCCTTCAACCAGAACTTCATTAAAGGGGATTCTCAAAACAAAATAATCTTTTTGAGATAACCTTTATACATTCTAGAAAATGAATGATATCCTGAAGAAGGGTCTTGAATTATACATATACATACATACACACACACACAAACTCACACAATATAAGCATATATTACTTCAGGGGGAAAAACTTACTGGTTTCTTTGGTGTTGAAATATAGGGAAGAGGACCCAAAACTATTTCAAACAAATCACTGGAATAAGGGATTGTCTTCTCTACATTTTCTCGGAAGCGTGGATCATAATTTGCATATAAAATAGTTCCACCTATTCCTCCACCAATAAACAAAACACTGGCACCAATTATTTTCCCTGCAGAGACACTGTTAAAACAAGAAAAAAGCCTTTTGGATATGTATTTTTTTAAAAAGCAGAAAGAATATATGTTAGAAAACCTTACTCTCTTCCTAGGCTAACTTCTTGTTAACAATAAAAAAAAACCATAACTATTTGTATGTAAGTATCAGCATCATATATATTTAAATGCAAATGACAGAAATTTCAAACTCCTATAAATCATGACATAAACGCTATTCCCAATAACATATAAAATATAATCCAATGTGTTATAACTAAGGCTGGATTTGAAGATAAAAAAACTGCTTGGGAACATCTATCAGAAACAACAAAGCAGCAGCTTCTTCAAGACAGCACAACTGTTCTTTGCAACATTAATATAATTCAAGGTAAACTGGTTTTTTTTCCCTTTCTCAACTTTATACACATAACAGACAAGCTTGAACAGTTTTCCCAAACATAATATATGAGTACAACTAGTCCTTGATTTATGATGGGTCAATTAGCAACTATTCAAAGTTATGACAGATTCCCCCCACCATCAAAAAAAAAAGGTAGCTAAAACCCAATTTCAAGATTACAATTATAGCATTATCCTGTGGTCATGAGATTGCATTTTGGGTGTTTGGCAACAAATTGCCCTTGATGGCTGTTTGCAGCACTCTTTGGCTTTATGAACAAACTTTTCAATATTTTTTGCTGGTTTCCAATGTTTATTTCTAGTTAATAGGAAAAAGTGCCCAATGAATATATTGGATTCACTTAATGACCACAATATTTGCTTAATAACCACAACAAAAAATGTCATTAAATTGGGCTTGGTCACATAGTGACCCACTTAACAACCATAATGACTTACAACTATAATTTTGGCTCAATTATGGTTGTTATTTGAGAACTACCTATTGTCATAGGAAATGATTGGATGTTTAATAAAAGCAGTAAGAAAATTCTTTGGTACACCTAACAGCACTTTTGTGTTTCACTGGTTCTTCTAAAACAAGTTCGTGTAAGTTTTCTATCAGAAGTTCCTTTGCATTAAAATATTCAAAAAGCATCAGTATGATACTAAATATAAATTGCCTTATATAGGAACACTCACTAGAACCCACTTCCTTTAAATGAAAATATTCAGTAAATGGAAAAATAAGAATACGATAGAATATTTATTACAAAAAACATTAGTTTCTAATTTTATTTCTTCTAAATTATATTTCACAAAGTAACCTGAAGGTAAACAAATCTTTATGAATATTCATAGTAAAAAGAACAGAGTTATGCTATGTATTAAAATAAAGCACCTATTATCTTGTCATTGTAACTTCAAATGGCTATAAAATGACAGATTCTTAAGCAAAGTTTATGTATATATGAAATGTGAAGGTTGGCTTTTCCAGTACATATATAATGTGTCATGCCCCTGATGGAGACTGACTCTGAGGGAGAGGAGAAACAGCCAACAGGGAGTGGGAGTGTGGCTCCAGAGGTGGTGGAGGAGGCTGGGGAAGGGCAGAGGCCGGCTGAGCAGTCAGAGGAGGATCCAGGCCCATCCCCTATCCATCCTAGGTCATGCAGAGAGGAGAGAATCAGGGAAAAGCAAGGTCTACTTGGGAGGAGAGGGCCATGATCCTCCTCATGGGTTGCAGCTGTGAGCTCTGTATAAGAGTTTGGAACTGCGTGTTCACAGACCCCGGAGTCAAATTAGTGCTTTCTTTGGATGAGGTTTATCTTTGTTGGCGTTCTTCCCATGGACTCTCCCCAGTTATCTTCCTGGAATGTGTGATTAATTATCTTGGTTTGCCTTGGAACTCTCGTCAATGAGGTTTGTTTTTGGTTTCTTTTTGCTTCATTATCTACTTTTTGAATTTAAACTGTGGCTAATAGAACAGCGAAGTTAAGTTGAAGGTATTACAAGACCTTGATTCATGTTTTAGTTTTTGTGTTATTTTTGAGCACTACGGGTCATCACATAATGTTGGAAGGATGGTAATATTTACTTTTGGTTAGTTTGGCATATCTTTTGTTTTCGTAACCGTGTTTTATTTTATACAGGTAGATATAGAAAAATGTTATCAAACTACTCTATGAAAAAGAAAATACCCTAGTTCTCCCAGCTAGCATAGCAATTGTACAGTATATTTGGAGGAAGGCTCCTTATATCATCCCTTTTACGAATACATACCCAGACTCTCTAGATGAGGCATATCCACGAGACAGCCGGGAAGAACGGAGTGAACTTTTACTACAAAGACAATTCTAAAAAAAATAAAAAAGCAATTGTTATGAATAATGACTCAATTCAAATTCATTTTGTTTATCTCATGTTTTACCAATCTTTGATATTTTTATTACAGCAGCCTTGCAAATAACTATCTATTTATTGGCTTCTGCCCACCTTAATTTAATTTCTGTGAAGATTATGTAGCATAAAACCATAAATAATGTAGCATAAAACACAAATAATACAGATTTTTTTCCCTATGACCTAGAAAATGTTGCTAGGATAGCTATGAGAGTAAGAACTTAATTTGATCAAAACGTCAGATCAAGAACTCTAATTTTTATTCCAGATTCAGAAATCTCTTTGGCAGCTAATTGTTATTAATTCATCATCTTTTTAATGCCTTGCTTACATTTAATTATAGTACAACACAATCTATGTTAGGCTATTCTAACTTTTGCAAGCTTTAATGATTCAAAATACAGCAATTAGGCTCCTATCAAAGCATTATGATGTTTATATGATGTTCATATTAAAAATCAAATTTGTTCTCAATTTTCAAGACCACTTTAAAGCAGAATAATATAATTTAAATAACTGGGACCATTTTTTAAAAATTCAAATTTAAGCACCTATCTTTAAAAAAAATGAAAGAAGTTCATTCATTCTTTTGTTGTTTTGCATAACAAAGCAAATTTATGTTAGAAAAAACCTCTAGTTTTAACCTCTAGTCCAGAGATGTCAAACTGGAGGCCTGGAGGCTGGATGTGTCACACACAGGCCACACCCATCCTAGCTCTGTGAAGGGGAAAGACATCACAATACATCATGTGATGGCAACATGACGCTCCAAGTTTGACACCCATGCTCTAGTCCAGTGGTGGCTAACCTTTTTCAGCTCCCGTGCCAATAATTGCACACACGCTCGCTTGCGCATGCGTGTCAGCACCCAGAAGGCAATGCGTGCTTGGCTCCCCCCACGCCCCCGGTGCATGCAGTTTACAGAGTCAGCATATTGCCCCCAACAATTTGGGTCCACATTTTGCCCACCTTAGAAGAATGGAAGGCTGAGTCAACCTTGAGCCTGATGAGATTAAAACTGCCAAATTGCAGGCAGTTGGCACTCAGCAGAAAACATTTAATTATTATGTTAAACAAAAGTACAATATGTATCAGAAAGATCCTATGCCAACTATAATGTATGGAATCCATTTTAATTTTAGGTGAATTTTAAAATAATAGAACCACCCTATTCAAATCTACAAACCTTAAATAAAAGTTAACATACAATAGATCTGCTAAAATAAATATTGTTATAATTAGTATAATTATAAATAGTAAGCATCATTATGTTTTTTAAAAAATAACTATGGTACAAATAAATCTAGATGTAAACCAGTTTTTCCCCAGTAATAATATCCAAAGTCTTTTATTTGCCTACACTGCTGCTTACTTTTGAGGCAGAAGCTCGGGTTTCACTTCAAATAACTTTACTCAGATTGTTTCTTAAATGCTAAATACAACCTGATAACTGCTATTTTCTTCTAAAATGTGCAATTTGATATTTTTAACAAATTACTGCAAACCAAAATTAACTGCAGCATCTGTATCAAGTCATGATGATATTAAAATGACCACACATGCAATGATTATGCGACGACGTCACTATATAATGCAAGCTGTGCATCATGACATTTTTCACCTACCCCTCCTGAACTAAAAAACAGAATATAATTATTAACCATTGAATTAAAAATGAAAATTAAGATCATCACAGTCAGCCAGATATCCAGACTGGATTTGGAATTTTTACTCATCTATCCAGTCCTTCCCTTGGATGGGCTAGGTGGATGGTTGCTGGTATTACAGGTATCACTGCAGGATATAAACTGTTCTGAATAAAGCTGCATTTTGCAATTGATTGAGGGTGAATTTACCAATGCCAATGGTGTTCAAGTGGTGCTCCAGTTATTGTGGGATTACACTCAAAATGACTATTACTATTGGGACTATCTTTGCTTGCTTCTGCCAGTTATTCTATCTTATTTACAGGTTTGGTATTTTGTTATCTTCTCCAGTTGTTTCTCTTCCGCTGTCTTCAGATACTGCCATGTCCACTATCCAATCTTTTTTTACTTTCGTATTGACAGTTGTTAAGTCTGGAGTGTCATGTGGCAGCTGCCTGTCTGTCTGTATTCTAAAGTCTCAGAGAAATTTAGCTTCTTTTCTATGCTCTTCTCTATTTGATGATTCCCATCAGTTCTTGCTTGCAGGCAAATGACATTTCTTGCAGATTTTGAAATGCCATTGTTGCTATTTTGTCTTGCCATTGCTTGTAGTGATCTTTTTGCAACAGCTAACCAGGTGGTCTGCTGTTTCCTCAGTTTCTTTGCAGAGGTGGCAGAATTAGCCCTTGTGTCTTTTTATTTGACTTTCTTGCTCTTAGGCATTGTCAGGTATTCTTATTATCTACTTTCTCTGCTATTTTATGTACTGGCCATGTAGTTTTGTCTTTCTATGCCTCCTTTCTGTTCTTCATTTGGTCCTTCCTATAAGATGTTTTGGTCTCTCCAGTACTCAGAAAGCTTTCCTGATTTACTAGCTTTAGTTAATTGTCTTCACTGTCCTTCAGATATTCTTCCAATGTCTTTTTTTCTTCTTCTTCAACTACCTGATGAAGTCCCAACATTGCATGCCCGCCCATTTTCCTTGGTAAGTGAAGCCTATCAACATCACTGCATAGATCACTCATGATTCATTGCCTTTAATTTTCTGATATTCATATCCAGGACTCTTAGTTCTGCTTGAGTCCAGTCCACTATTCCAGAGATGTATCTAATGACTGAAATTGCCCAAGTGTTGATTGCCTTGATGATATTCTCCACTGAACCTCTTGAGTTTTGATTTGATTTGATTTTTTCCATAGCGCATCTTGATTCCTTCAGTTTTCATTATGTTTCCTCATTTGATGATAAGCATAGCACATTAGTCCAGTTTAAACTCCATTGCAATATCTTGGCAATGTACATGGACAGTGTTGAGCAGTGATTCTATTTCAGATGGTGTTTTTCCATAATAGCTTCAAATAATCTATGTAAATAGCCTGCAGATTATTTTAATGTTTGGTAGTCATTGGCCAAGATAGACAGTATTGTTTACAGAGGAATCAGTGCAATGAACAAAAATGAGTCTCCTTGGAAAATTCCTCTCTTGATATTAACCACTCCCATTCTATCACCATTGATTTGCAACTGTGTTTTCCACTGTGCTATCAATCTTTCAAAAAGCTTCTGATTTGCACAAAGCTTCTGAGTCAGCCTCTACTGACTCCTGTTATTTTTAAGCACTTTATTATCCAATCATGTGAAAAGGAATCAAATGCCTTATTTGCGCTCTTTCCCTCTCTCTCCCCCCATGGGGCTATGGTGGTCAGTGCCCATCAACTGGTGGGCCAAGGTCCACTGGTGGTCTGTGAGAAAATTTTGGTGGTCCGCAAAGAAATGTCACCCCCAGAGCACCCCCTAAAGCAATTAATCCAGACTGCGCAGGAACACAAGCCTGTGCCGCCCATATGGCCCATGGGAATCCTCCCCACCCATTCACTCCTTACCTGGCAAACTTGCCTGCTAAGTTGCTATTTTTCCTTTTTTTCCTGACCATCATCTGTTCTGCTGTGCTGGGAGATTTAGATTAGCTAGAAAGCAGGAAATCATTGGATTTCTTGCTTTCTAGCTAATCTTTTAAGCAGAGCTGAATCTCCCTTATGACTGAAGGTTCTATTATTCAGTTGCAGACTCAGATAGACAATGGCAGAAACACAGATCTCTAAGTGAATCTGTGATTCTGTGAGCAACTCAATCTGCCTGCCTGCTTTGCCTGATGTTGGGTAAAAGTTGTTCTTTTTTTAATAAAAAATTCAATATTTACATACATGGTGTGTTGTGAGTTAATTCTGTGAGTTTGCAGGCAAATTTTACATGATAGACTCAGGTAGCCGATGGCAGAAAGGTAGATCTCTGAATCTGTGAGTTCATGAGCAACTCAATCTGCCTGCCTGCTTTGCCTGATTTTGGATAAAAGTTGCTCTTTTTTAATAAAAAAATCAACGTTTACATAAATATTTATATTTACATACAAGCCATGCTCAGCCAGTCACATGACCACCAAGCCACACCCAAAAATTAGGCCCCGCTCAAGAACCAGTTGTTAAGAGATATGAATCCCACCCCTGCTTCTGTGTGTTTGTGTGTGTAAGAGAGAGAGAGAGATTAGATCAGATCTCTCCCTCTCTCTCCCACCAACATCAGCAAGCCATCAAAATTCATATTAGTGGTTCCCAGGATTTAAAATTATGAGTTTGGTAGTCCCTGAGGTCCAGAAGATTGGCGACTCCTGTTCTAGGGGGCTAGAGTGTGTTGCATGTTTCCTTGCTCCAAAGATACAATTCATTAGAATTCTAAAATATTCTAAATTTTAAAAAAGAATGAAAAACATTAATACCATAAAGGCTTATTTTGCAACTAAACTTAACAGAACGTTAGACTAAACTAAACTTACATATTGGATGTTTTTAGTACTAGAAGCAAGTTGTGGAATATGCTAAATCGAATTGTTCCTTCAAAAGTATGTGTTGAATGCACCCAAATCATTTTTACCTGTTTCACACTTTTTTCATGAAGGAACAAATCCTCCAGATTACACATTATTTCTCTTCCTAAAAAGCAAATGTCATGTCTTTTTATGTTGTCACAAAGACTGTTCCCACAAAGACTGTGGCTGGCACGGATGGCTGGATGCTGTTCAGCTGCCTCTCACACATGACAACACAATAGTGGAGGAAGTCCTTGAAATACCAGGAGCTTCCAGGATTTACAGGCCGTGCTCCGAATTAGAGGTGACCCAAGGAGCCTGCCAACCTGAGGCTCTTGCCCACCACCGAGCAGGCAACGAGTGATCATGTCCAGTCGGCATTTGAGGCTCTCGTCTTTCTTATTAAGTAGTTTCTTATTAAGCAAGCCGAGGCAGCAAGAAATTTCAGAGCCGCCTCCCCTGGAAAAAGGGGCACCAGCCCGCACTGCTTGACGGGAAGCGTAGGCTTAATTTAAGCGCACGCCACGCGAACGAGCCGCATCCCACCCTATTTCCCCGATCGCCTGCAACGGGTAGGCGGCTGAGTAGTCCCCACATATTCCTTCTTCCCTCACGGCTGCGGTTCAGCCGCGCTGGAATCACGAGGCCTCTTCCGTTTCTCCTGTCAATTCGCTACGAGAAGCGGGCGCCCGTGACAAAGAGGCTGCAAATGGGATCGGAGCAGCGCCGGACGCATCAACTCTCTCACGTTGCTCACCTGAGCCGCTGTGGTGGCCACGCGCTGACAGACCCGCAACATGATGATGGCGAGGACCGATCGCCGAAGCGAAAAAAAAAAAAGTGTCGCGATCCACCGCCTGTCTACCCCCGCAGTGACAAGCGCCCAGGGCACGTTAACGGGGAAGGAGGAGCTTGGGTTTACCAATCAAAATAGACTAAACGGCGAATATGCAAATATTCCTCCCTCTATCATACAGAGACTGTCATGGCGGTCAATTGGAATACGAAACGTCATCAGCCACGCGTACCAAGAAGCGCAGAATGAGTCGCTCTTGGACTTTGGGATCAGATAATGGTTTTGGCGCCATGTCTGCATTATTTATTTATTTTTGGTCTGGAGAAAGATTTCGCGTGCTACGGTCTTTCAAATTAAAGAAAGAATTATATAAATCAATCAATAAATTTTTCGTGTTTAAATTGTTCTAATGAAAAGTATGAGCAGTCGATGTCAATAGCCTTGCAAAAAATTGCTTTTGGTAAAGGAGGGAAGCAAAAAATAAAACGTGGAACAATGTTGTATTGGTATAATTTTTATTCTAAGCATATGCCAGTACCACAGCATTTTCATGGAAGTTATTAAAAAAATAATCAAATAATTAAAATGAATTATTTTCATGTTCTGGCTTAACATCATAAAATAGAGCAGTAAATGCCAATTTGTATAGTTAAAAAGTATACCACTGCATGTTTCAGGCAGGAACATGTTTTGTTCAATTTATGTTGTCTGAACCCCATAAAATGCTGTTGCTTTGCCTTCCCCTATTCATTTTACGTATTTTATGTATATTTCTTTGGAAAAACAATATTTGGTAGCACTACTAGGATAACAATCTTCCTCTAAACTCCAGTCATTTACTCATGTTGTTCCATATTTGTTAACACAGTGCTGCCTAGCGCTTCAACTATCCTGATTTTTAATTCTTCACTGAAATCAGGATATAAATAAAATAAGTAGATTTCTTTTCTGAAGTTTGTTATATTCCTATTTGATTGATGTATGTTGTTTTTTGGATTTCTCTTTCCAGCATAACTGATTCCGTCATTCAATAATCCCAATAATTTGTTAGGATAGAAATGGATGGGGAAGTACAGTGAATGACTTGGTGTAAACTATATTTATGGACGGTTTCCTCTTTTTCTTATACTTTTAATTCCTTTGTGTTCCTATTCCTTATTCTTTTCTGCACTCTGCATAAATTTCCTTATTTGAATAAAAAATATGAGAGGGATATGAATATATATACTGAATGCTGATGTTTCAGATTCAAATAATATGATAAGTCTGACCTGTATTAAGAACTTTGTGTTGTAGAGTAGATGGCAGGATATAAGAACTCACTAAATCAGAGCCAGTTTGGTCTAGTCTAGACTAGAAAGAGGGAGACCATGGCAAAGGCCATAAAAGCCAGCTTGTGCCAATCATTATCCTGCAACCCAATCCTCCTCACAAGGTGGTTGTGGGGAAAATAGGAGGAGCAAGATGTGTTTGGTTATGTTCAGTTGCCTTGTTCACTATTATTTGTACAAATAATAAAAGGATACAAAATAATAATAGTGACTATGATTTAATAACACTTAAAAAATGCCTGGGATTTCATTTCATATTGAGAAAACAGCATACTAAGTGCATCAGAACTGGATATGCAATAATTTTGAACAGAAGTCTAGTATGGTAAATAATTACTTATACTATGTATTAAACTATGTTTTGCTTGAGATTTAGTGAATAAGCCACAATTAATAGTGTTTATACAACACACTCAGCCAAAATAAAAATAAAAATATTAGAGACTAGTATGATATCTGTGGCCAATAAATCAGATAACTAAAACTAACAAGTAAAATTCTTGGATTAATTTCCAAAAGAAATTTCTTGACACTTGTAGGAAAAAAGCCAAATCTTATGACATGTTTGGGATTAACAAATTTATTTTCAGATAGCTTTGTGTGGATCATATTAAATAAATTGACTGAAGTTCTGTATGAGATTTTATATTTAATAAAATTATAGGAGAATTAAAGAGCTGCTGTGAGAATTGTCAGACAAGGTAAGTGGTGATCATATATACGCTAAAGAAGATCTTGGGTTAAAAAAAGGCAGCAAGTCTACATTCATATGAGTTTTTATTCTTCAGTAATTTATACATTATACACGTTATTACATTGGTCATTATTTTACAATGTAATGTGGCTGTGCTGTCCAGACAGAATAGTGGCAAAAAAAACCCGCACCTTCCTGATTTTTACAAGCAAGGGATGAAGAGCGGTAGAATGTTGCGTAAATTCGCTTTTGCTCAGTAATGACTCCTTACAGTTGCCGTAGTGAGGCAGAGCAGAGAGCAAGTAAGGAAGATGGCTGCGTTTGCTGCGGCGCGGAGATTTTCAGGTCAGTGAACGAAATGAGAATCCAAACGGAAATTTATTCGGTCTGGTGGTTCAGGAGGAGTAGAGGAACCAAAAAAGATAGCTTACTGCTGCGAAATCTTTATACATGTCTCTAGAATTGTGTAATTATACATTTTTATGCAGGAAGGATACTACTTGGGATACTGAACGAGTGGCGAACTATTACCCCTTTATGACCTGTGGACTTCAACTCCCAGAATTCCTGAGCTAGCCATGCTGGCTCAGGAATTCTGGGAGTTGAAGTCCACAGGACAAAGCGGCCATCGTTCCCCACCTCCGCTGTACAGCTCAATTGTAATACTTAAAGCTTCAGTTTAATTGGCCTTAGTAGCAAAAGGAAGATTTCAAGTGTATTTTAAAGTATGAAACAGTACCCTTTTTGCTTTTATAGCAGGACGTTCTGGTAAAGTAGTTGAGATGAAATGACTGATGTACAATGTTGCAGGCGAAAGAAGATATCAGTGAGCGATTGTAGTTGGATGGTGATGCAGATAAAGCTTCTGACTAGCATTGCTGTCCAAATTGTGGTCAGCAAGTTGTTTCCTATCCCAATTACTCTTTTGTGCAGAAGAAAAGTCAGGTGAAGATGCTCCTCATAAATTGATGTATGGTAGAGCTTTGGCGTTGTAATGGAGGCGCGGAGATTTGCTGGTTTGCACACTTCCTGGAAAGCTACTGTTTTATTAGTCTATATCGGGGCTATTTCATATTGTTATGAAATAACAGTTTTGATCCATCTTATTAGCACCGTTGCTCCACACATCTTAATGTTTTGACACAATCTTGAAACAATGCATTGCTTATTAGATTTATTACTTAGGAGTAAAACGTGCAAGGGAAATATGGGAAAATGAAATTATTGAAAATAGAGGGAGAGGAGAGAGAGTGGAAATCCAAGTCTTCGTATCTAGTCTATTCCCAATAAATAAGCCAAAGCAGGTGAGGAATAAAGTATCTATAAAGAAGCAATTTTATTGAAATGAAGTATAAACTCACAAGTGGCTTCACACAATGTTCTAGGACATGACTTGTTTGGTTTGTTTATGGTAGATGAACCCACTCAAAATTAAATAATTGCTTAACATGTGAAAACATAAATGGGTTATAGCTATGGAAGGCTATAGAATAAAATATTGTTGTTAAACAGCCCAAAGGTTTGGCTTATTGTTATTGGGTAGTTCCAAATGGTATGTATTCATGAATATTGAAATGGCTATCTGCTTAATTTGACTATTTTAACAGGAAATAACCATTTTCCCTACCAATCTTCCAGTGAATAAAAAACAAAATCTGTCCTGAAGACGGAATGTGAATTATCATGAATATATATTTAATTGCTCTCTCTTGACAAGCCACTCTTTCTTCAAATCTGCTCCAGTGTCATTAAAAATTTCCACTTCTGAATCTCATTCCAATTCTTAATCAAAAGAACAATTTCTTCATGTCATCACATAATTCCTAAATGGACAATAATTATGAATGATATTCAGGAAGAAGATTCTGCATCTTGTGCTGAGTTCTTTTATCATGTTGTTCATGTTCTGTTTTCTTTTCTTTTCTTTTTTTGTTGGTAGGAGTTTTACGATCTTTTTGCTCTTTGGTCCCTTCAGTCTACAGTGGCTCATGCACTGTAACTCCAATTTATCGACTATCTTCATTTCATATTTCTCAGAGGCAGACATCCATAAGTTATATCCAAAAACCTTTTCAATCTTTAGGCAGTACTTCATCTGGACTTTGCTTCTCTATAACAAACAGGTATGTGTTGTTTAACAGAGTTGAATTCTCTAAAATATGGATTTAGTTTCTTCCTTTACGATTATTTCTTTATTTAAAAAGGTATAAGGTTTCCCATCTTGTGAAAAATTCTGGACAGCTAACAGCAGTAATAAAAGCACAGTGATAAAACAGTCCAACAAGCAAAAAAAGAAAAATATAGCACCTAATCCAGCAACTTCCATCCAACTGTACAGTCCCTGACATTGCTATCCCAGTGCCAGATTTCTGAAAAGCTAAAAGGGTGGAGACCTGCCAGATCTTAAGGGATACAGTGTTTTATAATGTCAGAGTTTGCAACACTACATATTTTATAATCTTTTTTTCTTTTCATTATTTTCACAATCTGGTTTGTAAGATATTTTTACCGGGAGATAATGATTTAACCACAAAATGTCTCTTAATTTCAAATGAGTAGGTTTATAATAATGCCTACTCATGTCTTTTATTTGGTTTTAGCTTGTATGTTAAGCAAATCCAGCCAATTGTGGCTTATTACGTAAACCACAATTGCATAAAACATGACTAGTATGTTTGAACCAATACACTCTTGGTCTGATGAAGCAGTTCTTAATCACAAAAAAACCCCATCTCAATATTATATTACAAAGCTCCTCAGGTCCCAGGCCAAGAATTGGTCCTTGGCCTGTTAGGAACCAGGCTGCATAGTTGGAGGAGAAAAGTGGGCAAGTGAGAAAAGCCAAAACCATCCTCTTTCCCCCCTACCCCCACCCCCGGGTTGATGGAAAAATTGTCTTCCACGAAACAATTCCCTAGTGCCAAAAAGTTTGGGGGCACTGTTCTGTTAGATATTTCATTATTGATATGCTCCATACTGTATTTAAGGGTTGAAAATAGTTGTCCTTGGTAAAAAATCAAGAACTCTACTTAGATGGTTAAGGTAAATATCCCTATAGAGCAGAACAAGGCATAGTAGCCCATTATAGTGATAGAAAGCTTACATGAAAGTTCTATTTCCAAGAGCTATTGACTCTATTTGTCAGGAAGTATTGCAGAAAGAATTTGAGGTATACAGTCAAGTTCAATCATAAAGATGATTCCATTATCGGAAAAAGCAAACATAATTATGAGATGCAAATGTGGTGGGATTGCTTTTTAAAAAAATTCAATTGTATGTTTTGTCCACTATAAATTAGATTGTTTTTCAGTATCACCTGTATGACAAAAGTAATTTTATAAAGACATTTGAGAATAGAAGGCAATGTTTTGATGAGCTAATGGAATTGTTAATGTACGGTTTCTGTGCTCTTCAGGCAGGAATTGCATTTTATATTACATAAATAGTGAATTGGTTTTATATTTTCTTGATTTGATATATATATTAGAGTGGCACCTTTGCTTCAAAATATCCTTCAACAGCAAGTAAGGACAGTCATTAGTTACAGCTTACGAAAAGGAAAAAGAAAAACTGTGAAATCAGTGATTAAGAGATTTCTCCGATTGCACTGTGGCCTCTGGCTAAGAAGAAGGGTAAGAATGTTTTCTTCATTAAATTTTCTTATGTACATGAGTCGTCTTTCCCTGTTTACAAAGAAATACAAAAAAATCAAAATGAAGAATATGCCTGTTCTATGGAGGTCTTAATAATTTGTGTTTTTATACATAGGCATCTGTTTTTTGAGATTTAAATCTTTTGTTCTTCTGTTGATAGGCTGGTTACAAGAAAAAAGTGTGGAAAAAATCAGCTAAGCGGATGAAACGCTTGCGGGAACATGTATTCTGCAACAAAACACAAAGTAAAATGCTTGATAAAATGACTACTTCCTTCTGGAAAAGAAGAACATGGTATGCCAATGATGCCTATCAGAAATATCATGATCGTACAAACTTTCACTTGTGAATTGTCAACTGCAATTAATCATTTTATCCTATCTTTTTAGCAACCATGTAGGAAGCTTCTATTAAATTACTTATGCACAATAACAGATTAAATATTTATTGGTGTGTTTTATTTGCACAAACTGATTGATATAGTTTATATGATTTACCACGGTTTCAAGCATCACAATCTAAATATTGTGCATCTGAATGGTTTCGTATTGTCTGTCTTCAAATCCTGCTTTTAAATAAGAATTGCAACTTTGCTCAGACTTTTTTTTAATTTAGATAGTGATTTATGTGATTGCCCAGGTCAAATTAATAATTTTGGGCTATTTTCCTCTTCTGATTAATCATGCACAATGTAAACAAGTGCTCTTGGAGAGTTATGCCTTCCCCGTTATTTTTTTTAATTATAGGTATTAAAGACCATATATAGATTTGTCAAGGTAAATATTGAGGTAAATTTAACTTACTGCTCTCTTATCTGAAAAAAAGTAAGGCATGCTAATCTCACTATTTCCTCAATTAATTATTTAGAACTCAGAAAGATATACTTTGATAATTATCTCCAAAACACGGGTTAGTTTTGAGTGAAAATAATTGATAGAAGATCACCAACTGAAATTCAAATGCATGAGAAACTTGACTTTAACTTTCTATGGTCCTGGTTTGAAACTAATCAGAATGCCACTCTGATTCTTGAAGAAAATTCTTTAGTATCTCTAAGGCCTCTTAAGAAGCTTTTCAATGACAACATCGAAAGTATTCGGGAGATAGAACATTTACAAGAAATAGACCACTACAAAACCATACAATTAAAAATATTATTGAACAGAACAACCATTTCTTTCAGAAAAGAAAAGTTTAAGACTTTATTTTCAGTGTTTATCAAGCATAACAAAACATTGACCTTTGGAATACTATTCTAGTGTCTGATCACATAGTGCATTCTTTAATACTCTATACAATTTGCTATGACTCAAAAGGGGAAAAACACCTTAGTTATCCAGATTAGTCTCAGATATTAGACATTAATTTAACTTTCCAAATACAGGTAGTTTGTCAAATATGAAATACATTATTGCAAAAAAGAAAAATTACTTATGAAACATTTAGTGCAAGTACACTTGTACATTTGGTACATTTATCTTGCAGAGCACAGCTTGAAAGTAATAGACCATGAACATCCAATATTATATTCAAGATTTGCTTTCTTTTTCTAAATAATATCTTATTTAATAAGAATTTTATTTCCTCTTTACATATATATTCTGTTTAATTTTTGTTTGCAGATTTTGACTGAAATGAGCAGTTTTTCTGCTTACCATTTATATTTATATCCCATCTTTATTATTTTTATAAATAACTCAAGGTGGCTAACTACTGAATACTCCTTTTTCCTATTTTCCCCATAACAACAATCTTATGAGATGGATTGAACTGAGAAAAGAGTGACTGGTCTAGTCACCTAGCTGGCTTTCATATCTAAGTGGGATTAGAACTCACTGTCTTGATTTCTAGCATGATGCCTTAATCACTAATTGCATAAGAAGTTGCCTTTGAGCAGGTGAAAACTATTTCTCCATTTGCCCTCTTTTAAGTTTTCTAATTGGCAGCAGCAATTCAAGTTCTTTGGTAGCCTTTTGAGCATCTGAATCTTCTAACTGGCGATAACAGTGTATCAGTGATATCAATGGCTTCGGTAGGCAAAAAAAAACAACACCAGGCTCTCACTGGACATTGCTTCCTGTGTCTCAAGAGTGAAGGTTCAAAGACTAAGGCAAATATACCAGCTTTAGGGCCTAAGCAACAGATACTGGTCTGATTATTAATTATCAAAAAATCAAAACTTATGACCTAATATAAATATTCATGGCAAATTAATCGGAATGTTATAGAACAGGTTCAGTCTTTTCAATATTTCAGAACAGTTACTGACGTGCACTTCAAGGCTCGAATTCAGTTTTTAAAAGAGAAGGTAAAAAGGAGTGCAACAGCTATCTTAAGGCTTTTTTTTTTAATGAAAGGAGGTAATCATACACTAAGCTGGCTAGAAGTGTTTGTGATCAAAGCAATATTGCAGCTAATTTACAACTTTCAAATCTGCCTAGATCATAGCACTATTCAATCAGCTATTCCAAGAGACACATTTTGGGTTTCATGATGCATTCCAAACAGAGACCAAGAATGAAATGGGTCAAGCATATGTTAGTTATTGGCTTAAATTAATTCTCAACCCAAGAGGTTTGGCTATTCTCTTAAAATAAATTCCAGTCTTCTTGGTGGAAATTAAATTCCACCACAAGGTACCATGAACTTTCCCCTAGTGCATTGATCTTAATAATTTTTAAAAGGACAATTATTAAGCAACATGCCAAAAAAAATTCCAGAATGATTTCATCCAGATCCACCTTATTACGTACCAATGAATCTCTAAAAAGTATTGCACCTGCCCACTATTTGTTTAATATTACCTTTTGGTATATATTTCCCAATTATGACAATATTTAGCCAAGATTGAAGATGATTACATCAGCCTATTAATTAATCAGGAGGCAAAGATGTTAACTAGCATAGCCAGATTCAATATGCTATGACAGAAATAAACAACTGCTTCAAAAAGGATGAATCCAAATATACTGTATATCATATTTAGTTGATATTGAGGTACTTATTTTTATGGTCTACGATAAAACTAATAGATTATAGATCTAAACCAAGGGTGTATTTCCTCATGAAAAGGAATCTGGATTGGGCATTTGGTAAATGTGTGGTATGGTGCAGCTAAAAAGAGAGTCAGATCTAGTTAATACTTGGATGGGGATCACTGTGCAATTCTAGGGTGGTAGCTAGATTGAAAAACTGGAAATACAGTTTGGCATGAAGGCAAAGACATTCTACTTTCACTGATATTTAAATAGCAGTAGGAAATGGCTATGTAGGCCCTTAGAAACAGGGCATGGGAACTTTTTCCTTTATATATTGGACACTTCTCTATAATCCCAGTATTTTGGTAGAAAGTATGTGCCTTGAGTTTTCAAATCCCCAAAATTAATGGGTTTTGCTGCATATACCTAACAATTTATTATAGCAGCCAAGACCAATTTGTTTCCAACAATATTGCAGATTAAAAATCCACCATTCATGATTCTCACTGAGCTATATAGAGGCATACTGTTCAGCTGCAATTAGTACATTTGCTAGATACAAATAATTTTACAATGAATTCATATGAGAGATAAGGCAATTTCAACAATTTTACTTAAGTATTTACAAAACAAAGTCCAGAACAGTCATATTTTTAGTAAACAGCTGATCAAAAAGTCATTCATTAGCTTTAATTAAAATAAAATACATTGATTAGCTTTGATTAAAATAAAGTTTCATAGAATTTGAGAAGAAACATTTTTGGCATAAATGAACATTTATCAACTTTTTTTTGAAAAAAATCAATTACATATAACACAGGGGCAAAGCTCTTACTTTATGTCTGCTATTGTTTCATACAATAATGAAGTAGGTGTATATGTATGAGAGAGACAGACAAAATATGCCAATAGAATCTTAATAAATATGCAAACTGACACATCAAAGATTTTGAGATACCTGTCCTATGACTTAATATTTTCTAGCTGCCATTTAAATTCTTGATTTACTAATTAAAATGGTGGAAGGTCCAAATTTGGTTTAAAAGGGAGACAATGAATTTTTTTTTTTTGCATTTTAAAAACACTAGGAATTGCCAACTTAATATTGAAGCATGTTGGAAAAAATCATATATATTTACTTCAGATATCCATTTTATACAGTAAGTTTGACAATGGAGACTGAAATACAGTCATTTCAGAATCTCGCCTGAAGGAGATTAGATTAGTGCTGTCATACACACTCTATTAATCCTCAATGTCAACATGTTTATGTTCTACAGTACTTTTGTTTTAATGAGATAGTTATGAAGGCAAACACAAATGTTTATAGTATAATCTTCAAGATTTCACATGCTTTACACATATATGAGGCATCAATCCAAAGCTAAAATACATCAATCCTAATATGTTTTCCTTTTTTCGAACTTTTCTATAATTACAAATGTACAATCTAACTACAGACTGTTGTAATCTATACCAGAAGCTATATTACTGCTGAAATCTGTGAACATCTAAATTAAATGCTAATATGTGAACTGGGAGAATGACAGGATTAAAATCCTATGGGCAGAGGATTGATTTGCACCCAATACTAATTATGATTTGCACCTTAGCATTCATTGCAACCTGTAAACATGCCTCAGACATCACACAATTGCCCATTAAAATGGTCAATATGTTAGATAATACTGTATCAATGTGTTTTTATATACTGAATTTCTCAATAGCACAATTCTACCCTGTTTCTCCCAACAATATGGCCTCCCCCAATAGGAAGTCCCAGCATGTTTTATAGGCATGAAATGAAATTAAGCCCCTTCCCCCAAATTAAGACCTATATTAAAACATGCGAAATGGGGGAGAATGGGGGGGGGGGGGCTTGCCATTAGGAAGTGCTTTTGTTGCACACCCAGATATGGTGCTGCCTGCGTTGACCCCGATACGAAGTGCCCCACCAACGCCGAGGTCAACATCCAAGCCGTTGCTGCCTGCCTGCCCAAAGATGCAAGGGAGGGGAATTAAGTCACCCCCGAAAAGACAGCCTAGCCATTTTTTCGGGGCTCAAAAAAAAAAAAAGATGCAGCCTTATTATATGAGAAACACGGTAGCTCTATTATTGTGAATGCAATGTCTACCTGATTTCATAGTTAGCTGAACATAATGACATCAGTCTTAAGAAAGTTATGGCATCAAATCAAAGATTCATCAGTGGTATAGTCCTATAAATATGTTTCTCATCTCCACATTTCTAAGACTCCAGTGGGTCCATTTTTATACAGATTCAGTGACAGAATATACAATAACTAACTCCATAAATGAATGCACAGAAGAAATAGTAACATATTTAATTTGTTTTTACATTTTCACTACTTGTACAGTCAAAACAATCTTAATACATAATTCACAGTCTGAAAAATCTGTGGCCCCTATTGGTCCACATTACACTTATTAAGCCCCAAATAA